GTTAGACATAATTAAGGTAAATGGATAGAAATAAACCAGCAAAAGGAGAAGAAGGAAAGGCTAATTAATTAGGTCAGAGTGGAAAGTGGCAAAAGGTAGAGGGTAGTTTGGGATTTTAAAAAATCAAGAGAACATAAATTGAACAAAACAAAAAAAGAAAGACTACCACAGCACCTTGATGTTCGTCAAATAAAAAATTTGTTGTATTCTCACAATATGACTTGTCAAGTGTTGCATCTTTATTCTAACATAATATTATATTTGGTTCTACCAAAAAAAAAAATATATATATTATATTTGGCACCAAACGACACCTCCATATACTCAATCCAAACCACTCATAAATTCAATCATTATATATATCTTCATCTGTTTCATGATGTTGAAATATGTTTCAAAAGTGCAATGAACACTTGGATGGAAAAACGCCATAAAATATGTGAATAATGTCTTAAGTTTAAAATTTTGAGAGACATGGAAGAGATAGGTTGAAGTCAGAAGGACCGCCTCCCCTCATTTTCTCCCCCAATTATCACGGTGGTGACTAGCTAGCTAGCTCCGGCCAGCTTTGTGTCGTCGCCACTCGCCATCGTCTACCGGCTCCGCCTGGCTCTCTTGTGTCCACCGACAGTGGCGACGGGCAGGAGAAGAGTGGAGCTGGGGTCTAGCAAATAGCAATATCTCGACATAGCCAACTACTCATGTCCGGGCTTCCAATTGACCATTTAATGGCAATACTAGTGGACAATGGCTGCTACTCCTCCCATCTTACCAGTTACCACCCACCATGATCCCAAATATTTAAGGCTTTCTACTCATATCATATGGTGGAACTTTGATGACGTACGTCTTCTATAACAGCATGCAAGGATTGGGGTGAGGGCCCGTTCAGTTTGGGTTGGTCCGAGAAAATTCACACTACTCGTGTACTACCTTCGTTTTAACTCAACTTTTAAAAAAATTAACACAGAAGAAACGAGTTTATCGTAGTCTATTGTGATTTATAATTAATTTCCTAGGGGGATTTCACGACCAATTTATCATCTTATACCACCCTGATATAGATGGTAACTTGTGGTGAAAGTGATGAAATGTAGTAAACGGCAATTAGTATATTCCGGGACGAGAGAAACACTGACGGCTCTCTCATTCTTCTTTCTCTCTAACTTTCCTCTCTGTCTTCTCTCTTACTTCCTTCTTCTCCAGGCAGTCATGGGGGCTGCTGCCGGCGTCCGGCGGCAGCCCTCCGCCCCCCTTTTTCAGTTTTTGTTGTCCATCCTTCCTTTCGTAGTATAGTCTTCCACTCTTCCTTCTCTTCTCTTTCGCATGTTCCAGCCTTTTGGTTTCGATTCTTTTCGTCTGTGCATGTTCCTCCCCTTGTGGGTTTCCTTCCTCCCCCTTCGTGGGATGATCTTTTGCCCTCTGATTTGATTTTTCAGATCTGGAGATGTGTGTGCTCTAAGATGCAAAGGAGGCTAGATCTTTTAGATCTGGCTTGTTTTCTCCTCATCCTTCCTCTGTCCACCTCCTTGCTTCACTTTGCAGGTGCTTGTGATTCGAAGATGCGGCCATTGGCTTGGACACGGCTGGAGAGCTTGAAGACAGAAGTTTTTTCCTCTGTTACCACCGTCTGCCGTCCGATTGCTCTGATGTATTCACTTGTGAATGGTTTCCGAGATGCAGACGACGATTGGCTCGAGGAGGCTTGTGTGGAGGTTCTACCTTCCTCATCCCTCCACTCGGGGTGGCTGGTTCCTCAGGATTTGACTGGTGGCGGCGGCGGTTCCTTTTCAGCGACGGCGGCGGAGGTTCCAGAGGAGGGCATTGAACGGCTAGGGTTAGAAGACTGAAGCTCTGGTTTTGGCCCATGGTCTGGGCTCTATTGAGTCTCTGGACTTTTGTTTGGGCCTGTGTTTTTAGTCTTTTATCCTGTTGTTGTTTAATTGTCTGTAAACTTTTCCACTGGGCTTGGCCCATTTGCTCTTAATGAACTTAACATTGTCAAAAAAAAATTAGTATATTCCGTGTACCATACCCACATGGTATAATCTTATGTACTACCGAACATTATCATCATGGTATACACTAGTAATATACGTCTCAATTATTTTGTTATTATTATTAAAGTGGATTTGATTTTGAAGAATACAATTAATCTGTTTTTTTTTTTTTTTTTTGCAAAAGATTTTGAATTACAACTTAAAACAAAAGAGATATAGTCTGTTAAATTAAATTGAGAAAAAATTAGTTGTTTTCCGTGAATGGTTGATGGGTGTTACTGATAGTTATGCATAGGTAAGTTATTGACAGGATCCGGAGATTCTGAACCCTTGGTTTTCGAGTCACCGGTGGGTTAATTGCGGGAACGGATCAGGTCAGGAGCGGATCAGGTCAGTAACCTTGTGGTGAGTAACCATGAGTAATCCGTTCACATCAGCATCCCTCTCTCTCCTGGAAAGCCTTTAATTTTCCCTTTCTTAATATTTGATGGACGATTTCTCACTCGTTTTAAGTCAAAATTTAATTTATTTTGCACAGTTAGATCAGATTAATTGTGCTCTTCAAAATGATATCCACTTTAATATATTTTTCGGACAAAAAAAATTGAGCCATTTTTTACTAGTTTATACCATATGGTATTGACTGGTATTGAAATAAGAGCATACATATGGTTTGAAAAGCGTACCATGGTGGTATGAACAAACCAAGACTGTAGGATGGTTGAATACATGATAATAGAAGTATATTAACTGTCATTTACGTCTTTTAACATTGTGTACCACAAGATACCACCCCATACCAGGGTGGTATTGTATGGTATTGTGTGGTATTTTTTGATCATGTAATTTGTTCACCCAGAAATTTGTAGATCCAATAGATCATGATGAACTCGTCCCTTCTGTGCAAACGTTTTCAAAAATGAATTAAAAACGAAGAAGATACCATATGGTATGCAGTTGGTACCGAGAGGCCAAAAAAATTTTTTCCTTAAAAAATATTGAAAATTGATCTCATTTTGTAGAGCACGATGAACTCGTTCCATCTGTGCAAAAAAAAAGTAAAATCCTAGTTAAAACGAAAAAGATATGAGTCGATTAAGAAAGCTAGGGAAAATAAAAATGATCTTTAATTCTCCATCCTTAGATCTGAATTTTCTAAATGAAGGGTCCAGATTTGGTTCTTAATGGGTGCATAACTCATGGTTATGCACCCTATCTTGAGCCGTTAATTGCTACTTAGCAACAAATGCATGAGTCTTTTACTCTTTTTTACCATGACAAATTGTTATATGATTTATGCATGGAATAAGGTTCAAGAAGGCGCTAGGTATAAGGTGTGCATCGGGGTCTTGCCTACCATCTAAGTTTGTTTGGTCGTCGGCTAATTAAGTGTGTCTAAGCGCTGGAAATAAATAAAAAAATTATACTACATTACGAATGAAATAACAATTTATAACACTTTTCCCCTTCAGTTCAAATGACTAATAACTTACATGTCACTTAATAAACAAGAAAAATGGCTCCCACGTTCATAGAATCCTACCCGAGCTCAATAACTCACCAAGTTCATATAATCATATCACTCAATATCTCACAAAGTTTTTTATATATTGAACCGACACACCTTCATTACATTACAAGAAATTTGTTGTCATAAAGTTATTAAAATATTTAACTTTCGACTAGACAGTTAATTAGTTGATTGTACGAGAGTAAACAATTAATTGACTACTTAGCATGCATAGTATTCAGAGAGGTAACAATCACCTTAAAGATTACATCTATAATTTTGAATGAGAATTAATTGATTAATAAATGAGTTAAATCAAGTAATTAGATGGTGAATTACATATTGTCTTTTTCCATAGCTTCTTTCCATAGATTTTTCATGAAGTTAATTTTCAATTTGGTTTCTGATTTAGTTATTTTTTTCATTAAATTATAGAAAATTAATTTGTTCCTTGGAGTTCCTTAATTTTAATCATTAGATCAAGATTTTACCGATCCATGTGGGTTGATAATATACTTATCTCTATTACTAGATAACTAATTTGCATAAACATTTTATCGCATCACTTCTCCTTTTTTATTGAACAAAAATGAAAACTCCATCTTACTTACATTAAAAAAAACATATTTATCCTCTTACCTTTTTTTAATACACATTTGTTCCTCTAATATTATGTTTATTGAGAGGAAAAAATCTCCAACACCTGCCTTGAAGCTCTCTGCTCATAGTAGAGTGATCAATTTATGAATAATTGTTTAGTTGTGCACATAAAAAGGGTTTAATTTGCAATATAAGTGACAAATATAATTAAGAACCTTTCATAATATGAAAATTTGACGTGTTTCGCTGTAAAAATCAATGAAATATTAAATTTTAAGAATAAATCTTTTATATTTATTTTTAAATAATTAAATTTATTTTAATTAGTTAATTTTTATTTTTCGCTATTTTTATTGACCGACACACCTATCCAGTAATCCTATGTGCGCCACTGATTCTTCATACCTAACTCACAGCAAAACCCATAAACGAGATGTTTTGGCGTTGCCTAGCGCTTGCGCATGTTTAAACTTGTATTTTTTACCATGCATAGTAGGGACTGCCAATGTGTAGTAGGTTGGTTTGGCTCTCAAACTAATCCATTCACTAACAAATTGGTACAACTGTGACTCACAATTCACTTGCATTCTTCCAGTTGGGTTGGGTGGGTTGCGAGTGGTGCAAGTTGAATTATGATTTACAAAAAGGAGTTAAGGTGGATGCGTCAAGTACTACTACAAAAATATACAAGACGATAGGACGAATTGGTTCTTACGTTTGCAGAGTTAACTCGAGATTAGAAGTTTAGCATGATGATGCGATGAGCTCGACAGGGCTGACTACAAGGCCAGCTGCATTAAGTACAAGCTTTTAATCACCCCTAATCTAGCCACCTAATGAACTACACAAATAGATACATTTGAGCTCAGGTAAATTGATAAAAGAATGACCAAAGAGAGTGAACAAGCTAATGATCTATCGTTCCTGGAGCAGCATCCCTCGCCACATTAATGTATAGCACTTGCTCAAGCAACTAGCCAACTACCATGCAACTAGCTTCTACTTACTTTCCCAGTGCAATTGCTCATGCAGAAGCATTCAGAAACCTCAAACCAGGTGATTTCATAGTATATGATATCTTACCGACGTCTAGGGCTGTTAATCGGTCTCCGGTTTTTCGGTTACCACCGAAACCGTCGGTTACTGACCAACCGAAAATCGTCGGTTTAGTGCGGTTTGCGGTTGCGGTTGGATGTTCCGGCCAGTGGGCAATTGTAGCGGTTAGCGGTTAAAAACCGCAACCGCTACAAATTAACCGCACAAACCGACGACCCAGACACATCGGATTCTCCTTCCCTGATCCCCTGACCTAAATGAACCCTAAAATCCTAAATCCCAAAATCGTGAGAGTCTCACCCGCCGCTCCTCCCATTTCTGAACCCTAGCCAGTAGCCCCAACCCTCACCGGCCGCCTCCAGTCACCTCGTCCCCGTCGAGCTCGTCGGCCGTCGCAGCACCGTGCCGCCGTCCTCACTCCTCTCGCAGTCGAGCTCGTCCCCTCCCGTCGCGTCGCATCGTCCCCGTCGAGCTCGTCCCCGCCGCTCCCATCGTCGCGTCGCACCGCCGCCCTCCCGCCTCTCCCAGTCGAGCTCGTCCCCTCCCGTCGCGTCGCATCGTCCCCGTCGAGCTCGTCCCCGCCGCTCCCAGCCTTCGTCGCATCGCCGCCCTCGCGTCGCCGCTGTCCTCCAACAGAAGTCGTCGTCGCCGAACTCCCGCCCAGAACTCCCTCCCAGAACTCGACTCTTGCCGTCTTCTGCCCCGGAATCCCGCCGTCTTCTGCCCTGTTCTCCCGCCGTCTTCTGCCCTGTTCTATCACCGATTCACCATAATCACCAATGTAAGTTCCAACAGAACAAAAACATTAGTAGGGTGTAGGGATTTGTGGATTATAGACCGGCAAAAGAGCTAGGAAAAGAGAGATCGAGAACAATAGTAGTTAGTACTCTATGCCTGTAGTTAATTATTCTTTGTATTAATTAATTAGTAGCTGATGATGCGAAGAATGGAAAGCCTTCATTTTCACTCGAGCTTTGAATGTCTGGTTATCTGGTCTTCAACTGGTTTGTGCTTCTCCTTTCATGTTCGTTGCCTGGGACGGAATGTATGGCACACAAAAAAATTATTTGTAATATGAATGTACCTTTCCACAGCCCACAGGGGTGTAAGCTTGGCTTTAGAGATTTCCCGATCTGCTTGATCCTCAAGGTCGGTTTGGCTATAAAAGGGTCAGTTTTTGGTCATGTGATGCGTAGTAACAAACAAGCCAACAACTAGTGATAACTTAGTAGATTCATGGTTTGGTGATTGGTAGTTAGTAAAGATTTGGTTTGCTAATTGTTGATGTTACATCTATTTACATGTTTTTATTGATTAAAACAGGGATAGAGGTGGACGTGATAAGAAACCACGTGGTCGTGGTCGTGGTCGTGGAAGAGGAGAACAAGGAGCAAGAGGTGCTCCTCCTCCGGCTTCTCAGCCGCGGGTTCCTTCGCAACCTGCTACTCCTTCTACCGGAGCTACTACAGCCGGAGGAGTTACTCCAAATGTGGCGGCTGCAGCTGAGAATGTAGAAGGTATTGCAGCAGATAATGTAGCAGCGCCGGCTGGAGTCGAGAATGCAAATGTGGAAGCTGGGGGAGATGCAACGGGAAGTGCAAATGATGCAGCATCAAAGAAGAGGAAAGCTGAATGTTGGAATGTCTTCAGAGCGATGCTAGTTGATGGCTACCCATTTGGAGAATGTATATTCTGCAAGACGAAGATTGCAGCACATCCGAAGTTTAATGGGACAAGTGCAGTGAATACACATAGGAGGGCATGTGCAAGGAAAAGGCTGAAGGAGAGTGGTAGCTCTCAAACTTTGTTGAATCTGCAGTCAACATCTACAGCTACTGGTGGTCAGGTAGGATCTCTTTCGACATGGAAGTTTGATCAGACTAAAACTAGGATTGGTCTAGCTGAGATGATTATATTGGATGAGTTTCCCTTTAGATATGTCGAGCATGAAGGCTTTAGACGATTTATGGCATTGGCGCAGCCCTTGTTTGTGATACCTGGTAGGCTTACTATTAGAGAAGACCGTTATCGTATCTTCCTTGAAAGAAAAGATATCCTGAGAGATTTCTTTGTCACAAAATGCAAAGGAAGAATTTCGATAACGACAGATACATGGACTTCTGTTCAGAATGCAAACTATATGTGTGTGACTGCTCATTATGTTGGTAAAGACTGGAAGTTGGTGAAGAAGGTGATTTGCTTTGTTGAGGTGACTAGTCATACTGGAGTTGATATAGCAGAGACATTGTGTACTTGTCTAGATGAATGGAAGATCAAGAGTTTGTGTTGCATCACAATGGACAACGCTAGTGCGAATGATGTTGTGGCTAGTTACATGATAGAGAAGATGCATGAGTGGGGGACAAATATGTTGGATGGGAGGTACTTGCATTTTCGTTGTGTTGCTCACATCATCAACTTAGTTGTCACTGATGGCTTGAAAGAAGTGGGGATTTCGGTTGAAAGGGTTCGAGATGTTGTGAAGTGGGTCAAGTCATCTCCATCAAGACTTACCAGATTCAAGGCGGCTGCTGATTTTCTTAAGATTGAGACCAAGAAACTTGTGTGTTTGGATGTTCCCACAAGGTGAAACTCCACCTACCTCATGCTAGAGTCTGCAGAAAGATTTTAGAAAGTATTTACTTTCTTATATGGACAAGATGAGAGTTTTAAGAAGTATGTGGACACAAAGAGAGGTGTGCCAACACAAGAAGATTGGAGCAGTGTGAGAAGGCTGATGAAGTATTTGAAGTTTTTCTGTGATTTGACTGCGCGTGTATCTGGTATGACATATTTCTAAATCTTTAAAGGCGAACTATATGTTCTTTTTCTTATTACTTCAATTTATGTTATACTAATATCTACTCTCTTGAACTTTTCTGTGTTTACAGGAACTTCATATGTGACTGTGCATCTATTCTTCAAGTATCTTGCAGATATTTATGAGGTCATATGCACATTGGAGCAAGATGAAGATGCCGAGATACAACGAATGGCAGTGAGAATTAAGGCGAAGGTTGCAAAGTATTGGTATGAGGCAGATAATGAGGAGAATATTAGGATGAACCGTGTGATCTACATTGCATGTGTGTTAGATCCGAGGCGCAAGTTGGCCTATGTTGAATTTGTCTTGAAGCAGATGTATGGCCAAGAAAATGGGAAGCAAATGGCTAAGGATATCAAACAAGAGATGAGTGACTTGTTTGAAGATTACAAGAAGAAGCTCCAGTCTCCACCCTCAAGTGCGTCGGATGCTGTTGCCACCTCCACAACCACTCTTAGTGGGAGTTCGAGTAGTGGTGTTGTGATGGGAGGGAAGATGACTTTTGAGTTCAAGAAGTTGAGGAAAGAAGAGCTTGATGCGGGTATTCGAAGTTCTTCAGAGCTGGACATCTATCTGAATGATGTCAATGATGCTGTTCTTTTCGATGACGAGGATGATAGCTTTGACATTCTTAAATGGTGGTCCGTCAGCAGCATTAGATATCCCGTGCTTTCTGAAATGGTGCGGGATATTTTGGCCATTCCGATTTCTTCTGTTGCCTCCGAGTCTGCTTTCAGCACAGGAGGTCGGGTGCTATCCTCATTTAGGTCTTCCTTGACCTCGAAGATGGTGGAGGCATTAATCTGTGCCGAAGATTGGATACGATTCCCTGATTCCCAATTGGTTCATGATGAAGAGGATCTCGAAGAGCTAACTGAGTTTGAAAGTGGTAATATATCATTTCTTCCTTCTAATTATGCTTTAGTTTTCATATTTGACAATTTGCCTATCTTAGTTTTCTCATTATAATCTACTTTTCATGTAGTTTATGAGGTTTTACAAGCTCGAATGGCTAATCAAAGTGGGAGTGAGTTTGATGGAACCCAAAGTTTTTCAGTTGATCCTACTTCTACTCCTACCCCCATAGTTGATGGACTTGATGATGTTGCTGAATATGATTCTGATGTCAATCCTGATGATGAGAATGCAGATCTTGGAGTAAATGATGACATCGGGCTAGACGATTTGGAGCGAGATCCCCGAATTTAGGTTGATGATTTGGAGAATGAACTTGTTATTTGTGGCTTGTTGTGATTTGTGAACTTGTGACTGTTGTTTGGCATATAAAAGATTTATGGTGTGTGATGAATGATGACTTGACTTGTGATTTAATTGTGGTTGGGTTAGATTTTATTTTCTGATTTGATAATAGAGCAGTAGGTTTTTAGAAAAGGGCAGCAGCAGGTTTTTAGAAAAAAGGCAGCAGGTGTGTGTGCTGTGTGCAGGGTTCTGGATCTCGGTTTTATTGGTCGGTTTCTGACCGAAACTGAAAACCGGCTGACTCTGGCGGTTTCGGCTAACCGCCCGTTCAAACCAAGACCGACAGTTTCGGTTGCCGGTTAACCGAGGATGGCGTCTGTGTCAGCTTCAGTTGATGGAAACGGGTTGCTTTCGGTCTCGGCTAACTGACGGTGCGGTTCGGTTAAACCGAAACCGCACCGACTAACAGCCCTACCGACGTCTGTCAAAGAGTCCCACAGCAAAAGCAACCAAAACTGAATTCAACGTTTTCATTCACCTTTCACCAAGCAAACAAGGGCACATAGTTTAAGGCCATATCTACGTTTCCTCCATCGTAACTAAAAAGAAAAAAAAGACCACAATGCAGAAAAACCACAACTCCAACGACGGGCAGAGATCACTAGTCAGAAGGGGGAAGTACAACAAAACAAAGAACTAACTTAGATTTTGTTGAAGGCAGCAATGTCGCAGCTCTGGATGTATTCATTGCGGGGCTCAACTGTGAGGTACTCGTCAATGAGTGTATCCACGGAGACGTCATCATCCACTATGGTCATCATGATCGAGAGCTTCTTGATTCCATAACCGACTGCGACCAATTTTGCTGCAAACAGAGGGGAAGGAACCCATCAGACACAAACTACACATTCATCCAAAGCATATAAATAAGAGCTGCACAAAATATTTATTTCAATAGTGCAAAACGTACATGCTCCCCAGAAGAGACCAGGCATCTCAATGCTCCTCACTGCCTCCTCCAACTTCTTCATGTCTGTCTCATCATCCCAAGGCTTCACATCCAACAGAACAGATGACTTTCCACCTACAGCAAACCGACACAAGGTTTCAGAATTTTCAAAGATGCTTAGAATGCAAGGCGCCAAAAGGAGAGCAGAACGACATTACTACACAAGCAGATGAATAAAGCTTACTCTCTTTCTTCTTGGTAGAAGACTTGGCCTTCTCCCTCTCCTCTGCTGCCTTCTTATCCTCTTCAGTCTCATCGCCAAAAAGATCCAAGTCATCATCATCATCTCCAGCAGCAGCAGGAGCAGCCTATAGATGGATTGCAAAGAGTTAGGTCTAAACAAACTACTAACTTTAACAAAATAACAGCACGCCTAGCTAGAAACAAACTCTAGCACTTAGGAGACTGCGATTTAAACAAACTACTTTAGTTTAACAAAATTCCAGTACACCTAGAAAAAAATCCTAGTACTATACTGCTCGGCAAAAATTACCTTAATAAAGATACAGACCACTGATTAAAGAACAGAAACAGTAAACCATCACGGAGTATATAAAGATTATTCTTTTAACTAACTAAACAAAAGACTCAAGAATTAGTTGCTTCTCAAGTCCAAAAATGATATGTTTTAGGCAACATGGATCACAACTTCATTGATCAACCTATGACAGACAAGCTAAATAGATCGAGTGAAAGTTATCACTTATCAGGCTATCTAACAAGCTCAGACGCACAGGAGGTAGGGTAGCTAACTACTAATAAATGAGAAGATCGGCTGTTCTAGTCTTAGAGGATATAATGTTTAGAGTGACCAACACATCACTTACTATTGGATCAGAAAAGAACTAAGATTAGAGCTAAAGTAGAGGCAATACATGAATCAGCAAAAGATAACATGCCAGCTTGCGACCACAAAGAGTGCAATCAGTTCCGCAGGAAGACTACAACAGAAAAAACATACCTCTTTAGCAGGGGCGGCGGCGGCAGCGCCACCAACTCCAACACCAGCAGCCTTTCCAGGGAAGCTAGAAAACCCCAATTCACAAACCCAATCAGCCCACTAACTAATGCATAATGCTTTAAGAAATCGCTACACGATAACACCAAAAGATAAGAACTTGAGCTCGAAAATCGATCGAATTACCCACCTTGAAGCAAGCTTTGAAGATACAGAGCTGTACCACTTGCCGGCATTGGGGAAGGAAGCGCCGGGAACGCTCTGAACAGCAGCATAAACCTTCACGTCATCCTTGGTGAACTTATCCCTGGACAAACAATGAACCAATTGAAATCAGTTGGCATGAATAAAACACTCGATCGAGGTTGTGCGGAACAAAGACGAGAATCAAGAGTAAAGTAACTAACCCGGAGATGTAGGATTTCCCGGCAAGGAAGGTTTCGAGGGCCTTAAGGCCAGCCTCGGTATGGAGATCTGAGAAGGTGACCGCCATGGATCCTGAAAAGCGACGGAAGCCTTTGAAGAGAGGATTTGCAAGGAAGAAAGATCTGAGCGAGTCGTTCAGTCGGAAAAAAAAAAGAGGAGAACTGAAGTAGTGAGTGGGAGAGATTATATATGCGGGGAAGCCAAAACCCTAATTTCGTAGTGCGCGGATATTCTTCTATTTCTTCGCAGAGATCCTCGCCGCTCCATTTTCCACTCGGAGTCGTGGAAATAAAGCACGAAACGGCAGGTCGTTTAAGTGAAATAATCAGTTTTCGGTCAATATAGGGGAAAAGAAGAAAAAAAACACCCAGTTTTACGTCTTTGATTAAAAAAAAAGGTTGATTTGTTGGCACTTGGTAGGCATGACACAGGAATTGTGATTTGATTTTCTTACATTACTCATTTTGAACTATAAAAATGAGTGTTTATGGTAATTCAAGTGACAATAAATAGCGAACCATGTAAAGTCGACAAGGAGGCTGACAAACGAAGAAAATGAAGCAAAATAAAATTAGTAATTCAGGTTGAATGTTCTTAATTTACGTTAGAGTTTTTTCTTACCTTTTTATGGTTAAAATAGTGAACAAATTGACCAGTCAAACCGGTTGGTTCATCTGGTTCATGTGCAACTGTTAAAAACCATACGAACATCCACCCCAATACATTTGGTTCATCTGGTTTTATCATTGATAATAATACATTTGGATTCAACCCAATACTCATATTGGTGATGACAATTAAATCAAATTATTTAATAGGTCAACTTATTGTCATTCCTAACAACACGGCACATGAAGACAAGGCTCTAACTAGTAACTAGAGATGGAAAACAGAACAACAACATAATCACTAACTATGACCATATCGTAAATGGTCTGTGGTTAGTTGCGGTTAATTGCATTAGTAATCAAATATACCGACAAAGGCTTCTTCTTTCATGATCATATCCAAAGTAGTTCGGGTTTAACCCATACACACGCAAGAATCGAGTAGAAAATTGAAACTATTCTCATGCTGGTTCGAGTTTCTAGTATCAATGAATATCCATGGGTATGGATTTTTCATCATAACTTATGCAAAGATGTTAACAATTACACATATATTGGCAATAAGTTAAAATAAAATAATAAATTACTAGGAAAAAAGTTGAAAAGAATATAATTTAGTGAAACGATTATATATGTGTAGTAAATATAAAAGATGATGAGAAAAATAAAGATAATTTCTAGATAAATACATACGCATATGTATGATCAGGAGGGTTCGGGTTGAATAATGAGAAAACCATATCCATCCATTACATCATAATATTTGAATTCAAGTTTTACTAATACCTACCAAAAATGCCGAAGGTAACACAACCGAATTGGTTGGGAGTGTGGTCTTTCGGGCCTGAGATTTGTGAGATCTCAGATTCAAACCCCGCTACACCACTTGGTGTTCCCCGCTGTCACAAAGTAGCACGTGGGGTTGAGATTACTGGATAAAAAAATACCTACCAAAAATATTTCGGGTTCAAATTTTATTCTACCCAATTAGGACAGACGGAATATCACAGATGTGGATATTTTTCCCATTCCTATGGGCTATGGTACGTTGTGTTCACTTGGAGTTGGAGGAGTGGGCTTTACTGATGACTTGTTTTTAAAAGGCTAATGGAGCCTCAGAGGGCTACGGTTTAGTGGACTTGGGCCGCTGCTTGTGTTGTGTGGATTGAGGTTATTAACACTATTGATATTTTTTTGATAAGGGTTATATGTTTCCCTAGTGGTATTACCAATTTATCACTAGATCAAGCCATTCTTTGTAACTATTCATGGTTTATTAGGTGTGGGTTGCGGTTATTGTACTAACCGCAAAACGATAAATTCTCCTAACCACGATCATGTAAGACATCCTTTACATTGTTAGTGATTAATCGCTAATCACACTTATTTGGTCCAATACTCTACTAGGATGACAATGAGACGAGTTTGAAGTGGGTTTGTCTAAATCATCTTCATCCCTAATTTTAAATATCAAAACCCATATACTCGCCCCATACCCATGCGGATAAGGTTTTGCAACCTCATCCTCATGTCCGTGATTTTTGGATACCCGTGGATAATACACGTCCCCGGACATCCAACATTATTATACGTAAAATTTTACATGTAAATTTTTAATTTAACTACTCTAAACGAACCTAATAAATCATGAAATCAACAAAGATACAATCATTCTTAATACAGTTCAAATTATCTAACCCTAAACATCCGATAATCGATAAAAAAGTACAATAGGGTAGCCCATAAGGTGGCTAGGAAGACCCTTTCTTTGTTTCCTGCTCTTATTGGGGGGTTTGATTTTTGCGCTTGGCTCCGAATGGAGTTGTAATCGTTTGTGATCTATTCGTTCTTGGCAATACAAGCTATCTTTTGTAAAAAAAAAAAAAAAGTGCAATGTTACCTAAATCACTCATCTCCTCTTATACATCTACTAGTCATTCATGGAAACCAGGCATAATACCTTGGCGAGAATGAATCCGGATGATGCGTGGAAGCACATCTTCTTTTCTATGAATTTGTCCAAAATAGAACTAGTTGATGTTGTTTTTCTCATTTGGCGATTATGGAAAGGAAGATGCTGGGCGATTCATGATCATATCCAGTATCTTCCTCCAGCACTGTTTTGGCAATTTCATCGACAGGTGGAAGAATGGCGAGCAGTGGAGCAACTCCCCCCTCTTCAGCAACGTGGTGCTCATGTCCATCCTTCCAACAATATAGCTAGCTCCGTTGGTGGTGGTGGTGGGCATGATAATGGTCAATTACCCCCGCAAACAGTTAATGTGTGGTTTGATGGTGCTGCCAAACGAGGACAAGGCGGGGGAATTGGCTTTGTTGGCTTCCACCTAACAGGTACTGTGTTATTTGCCTTTGGAAAGTACTATGAAGGGATTCATGATCCGTTTCTTATGGTATGCTTGGCGTTAAGAGATGTGATCCAATGGTGCCTCACTCACTCTTTTCTTTTTGCCCGTTTTCATGGGGACTCTCAACTATTAATCCAACGAATGGCGGGAGGTGATCTCAATCATGATCGGGGAGGAGCTATACTCGAGGATGTTCGAAGCTTGGCCGCTTCGTTTACCAGAGTCTCCTTCTGTTTTGTGTCTCGTAGACTCAATAGGGTTGCCCATCTTGTGGCACAAAAGGCCCTTTCATCGAGGATTCGACTACTGGTCGACTCCCGCACTCTTCTTTTTTCCTCTGTATGATTGACTTTTTATTTCTTGACTTGGATAAAAAAAACTAATATAATCTTGCTGACAAAGAGAAACTGAAAGAGTGAAAGGAGAATTGAGGAAAATGAATTAGTTTTCGATTTAGAACTCAATTATATTTTTAATATTTATTTTCTTAAGTTATTATAGGTTACAATTTAATCAATGTATGTTTATATGTGAAACGAAGATGGTAAGAATATGGTTGGGAATGTAAAATCATATCCACCTCATACCCAATAACTACAACAATCCTCCCCATTGATTGGATCGAACACAATCAAAATACACCCGTGATCACAAATTTCAAAATTTGATTGTCATCCCTATACTCTCTACCAAACTAGACATACGTTACATTGGGAACCATATGTTCTCTCTGTTCGTCCCATGCCATCTAATTGTCGTGCTGCTACATTTTATTACTGATAAACGTGAAGCATACCGTCAACACCAATGATCTTTGCTTCCCGCCAATTGTCTTTGCTTCCATCAACGTTGGGTGACACCACAGAAGAGGACATCAACAAGAAAAGCCGGCAATCCCACCTGGTGTAGAAACCGTCAACATAGGGATTCACTCCATAACCCCTCCGCCTCCAAAGCCCAAACTACTTCCGGACGGCATCTGGCCCTGAAAAAGAATCTCCCCATGAATTAAGTTTGGCTTCATAGCTCCAAAACAACGAAACCCAGAAAACTTTCCCCCTTTGGAATCCCCGCATCCAACCCATTTTTCCTTGAAGTTTCCAAGGCCATTTTCAAGTAATTGTCCCTTTTTTTTTCCTAGGGTTATATGTACGCCCAGCTTCCTTCATTCCCAACCCAAAGGCCAAATCTTTATGGTGCTTCTTCCCTGAAAAGAACAGCAAAATTGTTCTTGCTTCAATGGGTAGGGAGGACTTGACGATGATTGTGAATCCCATCTTCACCCCATCTCAGAAGAGGGTGGTGGTGATACAGGACGCCTTCAGTCAAGTTTCCCCCGTTTCCATAGCATGGGCTTTGAATGGATTGTCCCTTAGCTCTGGGGATTCTCTTACCCTACTTGCAGTTCTTCACCGGGTCAATAACTCCTGTGAGTCACCAAGCTTCCTTCTTTCTTTGGGTTGGTAATGTTATAGGGTTTTGATTGATGAGTAATTTTCTCTGTTTTCCAAAATTGCTTTGTGTGTTTTGGCAGTGGGATACAGAACCAAAGTGGGCTCCGGTTACTCCAAGAAAGCTGTGAACAGAGAAGCTGCAAGGAAGCAGGCCGAGTTTGACAGCAATGTCGATCTTATGCATGTCTCCAAGAAGTTCGAGGCACGCAAGGTTGTTTTTTTAATTCATCATTTCACTTGAGCTATGATATTCTGCAGTTGCTAAATGTACATAATAATGAATTTCTGAGTAATTTGATGCATACATACAGGTCAGTTTTGTGGTAGAGGTGGTAGTAGGATCTTCAGCAAAGGGTGTTGCACTTCAAAAAGTGGAGAGTCTAAAAGCCACTTGGGTGGTGCTCGACAGGTCAGCAGCCCATCAAAAGTTTCCTTCAGCCTTATGTGTTCTGGGAGATATGATGGGTTGGGCTAGCCTACTGATCTTCTAATTCAGTTGTATAGGCAGATGAAGAGACACAGGAAATTCTTCCTCCAAAATCTCTCCTGTGGGATTTCCAGGATTAAGAAGAACAACGTGGTCAAACAGCTGAGAGAGCCTAAAAAAGCCATGATCACCAGTCTACACACTGGTCATGATCACGAGCAGAAAAAAGTGAGGCCCGTGACTTATGGCGAAATGTTGCCTGGAACTCCTGAAGAAGATGATCTCTTCAGCCTCGAGCTTCCACCACGTAACTATGTTTCCCATTTCTGATACATGTGGCCACCAGTGCTGCTTCTTCTTCAGTGATCTAATTGTGTGTTTTTTTTTTAATTCTGATGGTGGTTTGAACAGCACGCCATGTTCAGGAAGAAACAGGTAATAACAGCAGCAGCAGCAGGCTAGTGTTGGAGAAGTGGCAAGCAGAAGTTTCATTCCAATGTTCGGTGTGTTCGGTCTGCAAAACCAGAAGGGGATTTCCAGTTGATCCAAGGGGTTGGGGATATGGATATGAAGAAATCCAAGCTGCAACTGATGATTTCTCATCAAGCAACTTCATGTCTGGGGATGTTGATGCAACGACAGGGTCCACCTTTTTCAGAGGGCAGCTGAAGAACAGCAACAACCAGAAGATCATTGTGAAACGATGCAGGAGTTCCGTAAACATGATTGGAGATGCAAAATTCAGTTTTGAGATTAATCTTCTCAGGGCAGTTAGGCACGATAATGTGCTGATGTTGATGGGTTCTTGCTCAAACGGCCACGGCCTCAGGCTGCTTGTGTATGAGTATGCCTGCAACAGCACACTTGATCAACATCTATTGAGTAAGCAGCCAAAAAAGTGGTGTTTTGATATTGATGTTGGTTTCTCATTCATCTATCAGTTAGAACTGAAAAAAGATTGCTTCTTTCTGGCAGAAACTTGCCCATTGCCCTTGACATGGTCAGATAGGGTGAAAGTAGCAGTTGGAGCAGCAAGGGGGCTAAACTATCTCCATGAGAACAACATAGTTCACAGGAATGTGAAAGCAGACAGTATTTTTTTAACTCATGATTTTGAGCCCCTGGTAATAATTCTTTTGTGCTAACAATCAAACACTGTCCTGACACAATGATATGGTAAAGCTAAAAACCTGTCTATTGTGTTAAAATTTGTCAGCTTGGTGATTATGGGTTTTCAGAGATGGAAGATTCAGCACCAGAACTCTCTACAGCAACTGATGTGTATGCGTTTGGAGTCGTTATGCTCGAGTTGATCACAGGCCAAAGTGCCAAGGAAGTTGTCGAAACTATGGCCTCGGGGAAAACAAGTCTTGTTGGATGGGTAAGTAATTGTCCAAGCTCTATCCCATATGAGAAAGTTACCATGATTCTTTTTATATGATTTTTATTCTTCCTGACAGGCAAGGCCAATCCTGAGAGAGAGAACTCATTTTCAGCTGATCGACACAAGAATCGTCAGGTCCCATGATGGCGAACAGCTCTACTGGATGTGTAGATTGATACACAAATGTCTTGCTGAAAACCCAAAGAAAAGGCTGGCCATGAATGAGGTATATTAAACAACGTCCAACAAAAGACCGCACCTTTTCCTCTCTTTGCCATCAGGAACTAACTAACTTGCTCTATGTTGAACTTTTGGGGACCATATGTACACAAAAGGTGGTATCTGCATTGGAGTGCATAGCAGAGAGGAAGGAGAACAGCATACTGGACGATGTTTTGGCAGTGAGATCGAGTCTTTCTCGCAGCACATTCGAAGAAGAAACATCCATGTGGACGAATCAAAGGGAGAGCTTCAGCAGAGATGCAACAGATTCGGAGATGAGCAAGGAACAGAGCCAAAGAACATCATCACATTCAGAAATGATTTCATCGAGCTCTTTCTTCAGCGGGTCTAGTAATGTAGGAATGAGGACTATGGGCAGACCAGCTTTGGTTTATGGAGAAATGCTTGTTTAATCTCTTACCCCACCCACAATTTTTCATTGCATTTGGAAAGCTATTTGGTCTAGTTTTGGTACACTTTCTCAGTAAATGGTGGCTGATAAGATTTTTTTGCACATCAGTTCCTGTAAAGAAATGTAAAGAAGCAGGAGTCACTGGTGATATTACTATACTATACTGTTCTCTCTTTTTGGCAATCCCTTTGAGGCCGGCCATCTATGTACAAGAGGGATATCCTGAAACTCTCCAACTGCTAGTAAAATGAATCCACATCACGGACTTGCAGAAGAAGAAGCAGAGATGAAACTGCTTGCAGTTTTTTAATTGGGATGCCCGAGTTTCTCTACTAGTTCAGATAGAATGACGGACCCTGCACCTCCAATGAGAAGGGAAAGAGTAACTTTCCCCCCAGGAACAAGTTCCGGCAATTTCATCGACGAAGATGTGCTTGAGTAACGATCCGACCAAGCCATTGCAGCAGGAAGAATCCCAAATAACACGAGTACTAACCAAAAGATAAAAAGCACACAATGAAACCAGGAAGCAGTTTGTCAGCTAGAACTAACTCTGATTCCACCAAACGTGAATTCCAAGGTAAGTACCAGAAAGATGAGAGCGAAGAATAGTATACCTCCATATGTCCCTGCAAAGTCCAAGGCCTTGAAAAATATCTCAGGATCTAGCAGTGATAGTACCAACGGTGGAAACAATGTTAGAATGTAGGGTAGAGCGCTATTCTTGCCAGTGGGGAGTTCTAGCACTAGAGAATTCAGAAGAATGAGAATTGTTAGCTCCCAAGAAATGTCATTTATGAGAAGATCACGGGTAGTATCAGCTATTTCAAGAAGTCACGAAGCTGTACTCACAATCAGAAAGGAAGTCAGCAAGGCCGAGAACAAAGCCAATATAAGATGTCGCAATTGCGAGAAGCGAGAAGACCTCAACTATTGCCTTCAAAGACCAACAGGAAAACATATTCAAAAGATGAAGTAACGATTGAGTATGTTTTATATATGTTTGAAAGTCAGTCAGCAGAATTATGAAGTTAAGCTCTCACCCCAACACCTCCATTGGTAGAAAGCAGCTGCTGCAAAGGATCAGTCACCATATTGCTGGTTTCTTGGCTGACAAGGGATCCAAGGATTACAGCATTCCAGACAAGAAACAAGCCTAGAGGAATGGCAGTGCCCAGTACGATTGCAGTCCTGAGAATTTACACAAAGATAATATAACAAGTAGCAAGAAACAATAGCAGCATGACTTTGTTGCATTGATACACAGTAGCGAATACAAAGGAACTGGTTGGTAATAGGATTTGCACCTTACTTTTGACAGGTTACCTTCAAGATTTGTGCAAATAACAGGTACCACATTCTGCAATCAAGATACAAATTATTACAACTACCTCAATTTCGAATGAGTTAGGTATTTGACACATCACAATACCTGATAAACAAATGAAAGTGCTATTATTGGTATACTCATTGGAACAGCTTCAAAATTTGCTTTTAGAAGAGCATCCCAGTGCAGGTTTGCACTTGCTACAACCTAAAAAAGACTTCCTCAACATCGAACGCAAAGGAATGGAATTGGAAACTGCACAAATGAATGCAAGGTAAAAGAAATTACCACTAGCCCTGTGAAAGAAATGATAATCCCCACAACAAGAGATCCATTAACAGCACCAATGACTCTCTGGCTGCAACATTAAGGTGAGTACAGGATCAAATTTATCCATTTATAATGGGAGACTAAGATGAATCTCAAAGTTCTTACTGAATATGTAAAAGTAGTAACAGTCTAACAGACCAGTCAAGTGACCTATTTACTTCCATGCTCTGGTTTTAGATATTCCTAGTGCTATTCTGGAAGTTTTCACAACACATTACTTAGCTGTCAGATGAGCTGATTCTACCTCCATCAACTTCTAGTAGAAACAGAGACATACATCTCGTAGTTGCAATAGTGGAGACATCTTTTTCCATATTCATGAGCAAACAAAACAAGGAATATGTACAAGTATACTTCATTAGATAGATATCAATCTCAACATCCATATACAGACCTTCCAAAGTAGCATATGCTTCCCAAGCCCAAAGAGAATAAGGCGGCACTCTCCCATCTGTAAACAACACATTGTATCTATCAATACCTAGATGTATAAAGCCCGATCAGAAAGCAATCCACAACAAATTATGATAAGACAATCAACCATGAGTAGGAAAGGTATAAAATACAGAAGAGGCTTTATGATTTTGTACAGTGGAATGCCGAGAAAGTTTGTTATAATATCTGAAGAGCGAGCTACATAGGCCACAAGAAGGGCATAATGGATGAATATGTAAGACCAGCTGCAAGAGCAAACACATGGAACTGATCATTACGGCAAGGTCTGAGAGTTTGTGAAATTAAGGAATTAATGCAACTCTCAAAATGCCTTTCTGTTATCAACCATTACTAACAAGGCTATGTGTAGACATTAAAGCATAAGTTGTCCATGGAAGAGCTTATAGTTATGAGCATCTACCATGAGAAAAAATCAGTTTTTCCCCCAGTTTGTATCGCTTCTTGGACGTACACCTACCAGGCAATTTGAACTCCTGCTGTCCCAAGGGTACGCTTGGCCATGGATACCTGAAGCAAAATCACATTTAAGATAGATCGCATGATGAGCTAAATAGTGCACATGAGTGAAAAATAATTACTTTATTACAAACAAGAAGTGTGAAAAAAATCACAAAACTGCCTCAAATGTTCTTGTTAATTCTCTAGTATAACCTTACCAATGACACTCCACCAGAGCCCAATTCACACATGGTGTTCACATTAACTTCCGCAACGAGCAACCCTGTAGTAACCTGTGCATCAATGGAAAAGGCTAGGGATTACAATCTTGTTTCAACTATCACCAACCACACACTAAACTAAAATAAACTCGACTCAACTCAAACTCAAAATTCATGATTCTACTATCCCAGAAAACAAACCATCAATATAATGAAAGGTCTAAAACGGCAAATATTTCTTTAGTTTGTCAGTACCACAGAGGCCAAGAATATCCAGGAGTTAGTACCATGAATATCCAGCAGACAATGCAAGCAACCGCAGAGGCCAAGAATCCAGAATCTTGGGTAACTGCAGGAATTGCCAGAATCCCAGCACCCACCTAAACATTTCAATCAAGCCAGTTGAGTTCGTTGATGAAAACGATTCATACATTATCTACTATCTGTAAGCAATCCACTACTCTTACCGTGGTACCCGCCACAAGGAAAATTGCACTGGGCAAGCTTCCTGGCATTCGAGAAATGAGAAATGTTCTATCAGTAAAGCTAAGAAGTGGGTGCCAGCATCTTACAAAGAAAAGCAACAACTTAAGGTGGAATGGGTGGGTGACCGGGTTCTCTCTTCAAAGTGACTTGGTTAACGTTGGAGAATAGCCTCTCAACCCCATATTCTTCTGGCTTATCGTGAGACCTGCACTTTGTGAAACTAGGTTTTGGTTTTGGTGAGAGGCGGGTTGGGAACTGATTGCATTTGGGGAGCAGCAGCCGCCGCGGGTTCCTCGGCGAGTTCGCGCGATGATCAAGCGGTGGCGTATCGAAAGTTTGGTGCTTTTTCAAGGGAGTCAGAAGGGCCGCTGCTGGAATTTGCAAAGGGAGAGACGACAGAGCATGCATTTTGACTCTGTCTCTCTAGTTCATGCGTTCTTCTGACTCCTTTTGGACTAGAAGAAAGAAGCAGAGAGATTAGAGAAGATGGAGCGACAGAGGAAGGCAGAGGGGAAACAGCATCCTCCTGTCCCTTTTCTGCCAGGATAAGGTCATCGTACTGTTTTGCAATGGGGAATGGCTAGTGGCCAATCCATAGTGCCAACTAGTCACAGAGTCACCGACCATTCATAGGTCCAACTGCCTAAGCCCAACTATGTCATTTTGGGTGTTGATTGTGCAACCAAGCAAATCATGCATAGTTGCATACACTATTCCAATGAATAATGTCCATGCTTATATTTAACGATCAAGATAATTGTATTGTGTTGTCTAAATGCCAATATTCACAATTACCAGTAATGGATCAAATGGATACGAATCGAATTATAAGTTCAATTTCGGACGGTAGATTCACATACTCACAAAAGCTCAAACCAAATGAATGCAATGCAATACTGTCATTACTGACTAAGTCACTGAGATTGCTTAGGTAATTAACAACCGATAATGTAATCTAAAACATGCACCTTTATCAACACACCTCTCAGCATATTAACAGAAGTAGTCAATCGTCAAACTTAGGTGGCTGGCTACTTAACCAACCACTGCTCTGTTGTATCAAGTCATACAATCGAAGAGTAATCCTGTCTCAAACAAACTTAAGGAAAAGATCAGTTGTTTAATTCTGACCATTAAAATGATATCTATCATCTAAGCACACATGCATGCACTTAACTGTAATATTATACTAATGCCTTCCATTCCCCTGATTTTCGCATTGACCGATCAGAAAAGCACCATCGATAAAAAATAATAATCCCCGGGGGACACAAGGAGACAAAGCAGGGAAGGAGGCCGTCTGAGGAAATAAGATGCCATTTTCTGGCTGTTCAAAAATGGCGGTAGATGTTCTTTCCTCCAATATAACAAAGAAATCTGTGCAGCAGCAGCCACTGCCCACTTCCCTAGAGGATTCCACCTTCAATTTATCTAATCCCGCAGTCCTTGAAACTCTCTGGACTTCCGCTTGCTTCCTATTTTGTTGTGGAAAGGCATCACCAACCCCCGCCATCGCCAATTCGCCATGGCTGCCTCTAGTTTGCTCTGCAATAATCCAATCTTCAACCCTAGTTCCAATTCGTTCGGCAAAAGCAATTTCTCCTCCTTCATCCCATCTGGGTCCGTCTGTTTCACGCAAAAGTTCCAATTTCAGAGGAGCCCAGTTGTGAAAGCCAGCAAGAAGCAAATAGAGGTATCGTGATTTTTTTCTTCTCCGTCTCTTCTTGTTCGATTGAAAAGAAATGAGCTTTGGTTTTGATTTTGATTTGGTTTGTTGGTTTCATGAATTAGGTAGTGTATAATCCTGATGAGAGGTTGAACAAGTTAGCAGATCAGGTGGATAAGGAAGCTCCTCTTTCCAGGCTCACTCTATTCTCTCCTTGCAAGGTTTTTCCCCTTCTATATTTGATCGACTCTTACAGTTTTTGTTTGTTTGTTTGTTTGGCATCTGTGACATCTTCCTATGTTTTTTAACTGATTTCGATCATGGGTTTCTTGCAGATTAACGTTTTCTTGAGAATTACCAGCAAGAGAGCAGATGGCTACCATGATTTGGCATCTCTTTTCCATGTAAGTCTCTTGTTTAAGCCAAGTTGTTTGATACATGAGGAGATTTGATCTTTTGTTCTCGGGTTTAGTTCCACATTCAGTCCAATACTAACAGTTTATCCTTCTGCTTTGTTCTTCCTCCCAGGTGATTAGTTTAGGAGATATAATTAAGTTCTCGTTGTCCCCTTCGGATAAAACCGATCGTTTATCCACCAATGTGTCTGGGGTTCCCCTTGATGACAGGAATTTGGTAAGGCTGGAAAAGTATTCTTCTTCTCTTTAGTATGGTGTCACCTCTCTCACTCCATATCGCTATATCAGTCTTGTGAATGAGTGTTGCAAACTATTTATGCAGATTATAAAAGCCCTGAACCTCTACAGGAAAAAGACAGGCACTAACAAATACTTTTGGGTAAGGTCTTGCAGTGTTATTAATAAGACTTGTAATGAAATGGGGCATAGTTAAAGTGTGTGCTTAAGGTCAGTAATGTCTCCACAGATTCACCTAGATAAGAAGGTACCAACTGGGGCTGGACTTGGTGGTGGAAGCAGCAATGCTGCAACTGCTCTGTGGGCTGCCAATCAATTCAGTGGCGGTCTTGCTACTGAGGAAGAGCTCCAAGAATGGTCTGGGGAGATTGGTTCAGACATTCCTTTCTTCTTCTCCCATGGAGCAGCTTATTGTACCGGCCGTGGTGAGGTAATGAATGCACATCTTTTAGATGCAGGCTTGAAAACATAGTCTATTACCTTCTTGTCCTGATGATCCTTGATTGGTGAAGAGCATATCTTGATTCCAAATTTGAGACAGTTGGCATTTTCTTTTGGGCTCTTTTGAATGATAAAACAAGCTGTTCGATGAAAAAAGAGTTTCCAAGTAGATGAGTTAAACCAATCTCTTTAGATACAAAATACTCCTTGAGAGCATTATCCGGGAGCTTGAATTGAATTTACATCGTTCTATGGCAATGCATCCATAGAAACATATTTAGCTGTTGTATGACATTTCTTCCCTTGGCTTGTTCAGGTTGTCGAAGATATGCCTTCACCTATTCCTCTAGACATTCCTATGGTTCTTGTTAAGCCTCCACAAGCCTGCCCAACTGGTGAAGTTTACAAGGTAATGTGCTTTAATTTGCAACAATCTTGAGACCTTCGTGCAAATTAATTTGTTGTCAATAACCTTGTATTGACAATGAACTTCTGATATCTTAGCATCTCCGAGTGGACCAAGCTAGTCAAGTCGATCCGTTGACTCTGTTGGAGAAGATATCAAGGAATGGCATATCACAAGATGTTTGTATAAATGATCTGGGTATGAACTGACACATATTATCATAGTTTAATACTCAAGTGATCTGTCTCCTTCATCCTCATTTCTTGAATTGCTTAACATTTCATTTATTGTTCCAATATGAAAGCTACTATCTGTCCTTGCCTGCAGAACCTCCAGCATTTGAAGTTCTGCCATCCCTTAAAAGGTTGAAGCAGCGTATAGCAGCGGCTGGCCGTGGACAGTATGATGCTGTTTTCATGTCTGGGAGGTACTGACTAACTTTTTACTATCCACACTGCCGCTTGATTTGAATTGTAAGGTATATGTGGTCCAAGACTGGCATAGTATCATCAGTAGTTCCAGAGTTTCTGTGAAGATGATAACCTACCTTCATGGAATGATCTTTTTTCTGTGCATTTTGCCTATATGTTTGATTTTTTCAGTGGTAGCACCATTGTCGGCATTGGTTCACCAGATCCTCCACAATTTATCTACGACGATGAAGAATATCAGGATGTTTTCTTGTCAGGTAAAAGTTCGAGCCACAATGCTTCATATAGAAAATATAAGGGGGAAAATGGAGGAAATGGTGACAGTGTATCTTTCAAATCGTTCTTCCTGCTTTACTTCTTACTATAGAGCTCGCACCAGTACCCAAGGCCTTTACCTTTCACCTTGATCACTGACCTTTTGGGATGCACTTTTCTATGTATTGCAGAGGCGAAATTCGTGACGAGAGAACCTGATCAGTGGTATAAGGAACCCGCGTCCACCACTTCCATCATCTCCCCCTCGGATTTCTCACGATCTACTGGTCGAGAATCCAGTTTATAGAAAAAAGAAGCCATCTTTGTGTCAATAGACGGTTGGTCTTGTTATTTTCATTCTTGAGGGGGTGTGCTGTAATATTTTTCTGACACTTATTGGTGAGAAACCGCAAAATGGTGGTACAAGACCATAAACCACAGCTGGTCGGTTCGAAAACCAAGCATCTTGGAGAGGTTGGGATCTTGTTGCGAAGACGGGAAAAGTGATGCTTAGTGTTGTATTTGAAATGCAATAACAATAAGAATGTTCTCTTCTGTATTCAAAGACTACATAAACAGATCCAGCAGGATAGAATCCATATCTGCAGATCCAAGTTATGGCTGAACAGAAACAGAGGGCGGAGAGGACAACATTGAAACCATTGGGATAACATTTCCCAAATGATTACGTCTACGATTGACAGGACGATGATTAATTTACCAAGGTTTAGAAGCTCAATTTCAGAGGTGAAACCATTTCTGCGGAATGAATCACGGAAATTCAAAGGGAAAGGAAGAATTCAAGAAAATGAACTCTTTGAGATGCCACTTTTTACTAAGGATATTCAACAAATCGGCAAAAAAAAGCAGGCAACCCAACAGCAACCATAAAATTCATACACATTTTTCCTGTCCTTCTTCCCCTTTTTTTTTCTGTTTCATTTTTATTCACGGCGTCCCCCAAACCACTCTACTACAGTGAAGGAGAAGAAACAAACTGTCTGGGTAAGCTAAACAGATCTTTCCCCTCAAATGGAGACGTCCATTCATGCGAGCCGCCAGCTGATGTTTCCGGGTTGGTCACCCCGCCACCGTCCTGCAGCCCTGCAAAGCCACCTACACCATTCATACTTGGAGTTGCTCTCATCGATAGCTTTGCACCCAAACCCGACCCTGTAGGGTCATAACCCTGGGTGGCACCATTCATTAACGACCCTTGCCCGAGACAGAATGTTGTGTTAGGCCTTGGAGAAGACGAACTCCGATCCAAACTCCAGTCTATGTTGGTGTAGTCTAACTGTGCCATCGAGCTTGCAGTGCTCCAATCGACAGGTGAGGAGGCCCCCGAAGAAACAGTTGAACCGAAGCCAGAGAAGAGTCCGAGGTTAGAAGCAGCAGCAAGGGTTGAAGCTGCCCCTGTTCTATTACTCCATAACCCATTCCCTCCCCTACTTGTCTCTAGAGGACTGCTTCCAGGAATAAAATGTTGTTGCTGCTGCTGCTGCTGCTGTTGAAACTGAAGATGATGGTTGTGGAACATTTGATTAGAGGAAGTGAGGTGGCTTGGATTTAGGTTGCTTGGAATCTGTGGCACAAATCCATTACTGGGCTTCATCATATCAATGCCATTTGCAGGGTACCAATTGAGGCTAGCAGACCCGGGTGGAGGAGATGAGCTCATGCTTGTTACTGCTGGAAGCTGTTTTGTATTTACAGTAGGTTGAGGTCGCTGCATCATGATAACAGGTTCTCTAACAGTAGTTCCACCAGGGTGAAAGTTCTTGTTGTTATATTCACTCCCAACAGATGATGGTGTATACCTGCTGGTATCTGCCTTGGGTGGCTGTGGTGAAACTTGCAAAGGAGACGACAGAGAGTAAGAAACAGATGGGTTACTATTAGATGCTGGCACACCAGTCCACCTTTTCTCTGATACCACCACACCAGAGACCAACTTTGATGGTTGTATTCTGTTCAAAGGCTGCTGCAAGTTCTTCACCATCCCAGGTTCTGGAGATCCTCCTCCTCCCAAGGGAGGAGGAACAGCTGCTTTTGTGTAGTTGAAGTCTCTATTATCATCTCGTCTCTGTTGTACTACCATGGAAGGTTGACTATGATTAGGTCTTACTTGAGATCTCATAGCATTCTGATGACTGACAGCTATTGGACCCCCCTTGCCACTGTTAACCATGGTTGGGGGATCACCAGTTTCGTCAGGCTTTGGAGGTGAAGGAGGAGGATCGAGCTTCATCCTCCTTAAACTCTCTGCAGCTTTATCGAGGTCACCTTCAGAACCAACTACTGCTCGTTCAACCTCTTGCTTCGTGCACTTGTATCTCACTTCTAAATCAGCAATCCGAGCAAGCTCATCGGATATATCAATTTTCAAATTCCCACCACCACCGAGATTCTGATCCCTGTGTTTATCATCTGCATCTTCACCAACTTCAAACAACCATGATACAGATTCCTCTACTTTACCTTCATTAAGTATTAGAGCCATGGTAGCTCTTTCATGGGAGAATCCCATGGCAACTAGCTGCTGAGCAAGTGCTTCGAGCTTCCTTGACATGAGATAGCCACTGCACCGCTCGTGCAATTCCTGTGCCCGCCTTTCCTTCTGACGCTGATGCTTCCTCTCATTCTTCTGACGGATTTTCTCTCTCTTATCATTGTCGGCAGCACCAGGTATTGTTGCGTCCTGGCGTGCGGGGGTGTTGGAGGTCTTCTCCTTGTGGTGATCTTCTGAATCACCAGACCAGCTTCCATTGTTTGAGACAGAATCATATTCCACGCCACCAGCTCCCCCAAACTGATCATCTGTCTCATCTATGTTGCGGAATCTGCCATTGTTGTGTATGGGAGAGGTGGCAGATGTTGGCACGGTTTCAAGTGTATGGAATGTTCCAGACAGTGGATTATATGCACTGGCTGGGATGCTACTACTGCTACCCCCGTTAACAGTGCCTGATGAAGGCTTTGATAGTGCCTTCTGAGGTTCTTTGCCAGATTTCTTGTCCTTGGACTTGGCTCTTGATGCCGGAGACATCACTGCCTCAAAGTAGAGACTGTGGCTCCTGTAAAGTTTTAAGACAACAACACATTTTCAGGTCAGACTTACCCTAGGAAGAATGCTCATTATTTAAATAAGAAACAAAAGGTCGAATCTTAATAAAGACACTCCATAATGGGCAGTAACTTGAGGAAAGGCACAAAGCAACAGTTGTGTTGTATGCACGTATAAGTCTAACTTGAGAAAAATTGCTAGCCACGATTATTCCGCCACAGAAAATGGGATTCCTTAAGAGTTCAATTCAACAACCACTCACACTACTATCTTTCCACCTATATTCATGTGGCCCAGTTCATCCCATTCTGGTTTTGTCACTCTTATACGTGTAGCGGATGTAGCCCATGCAAGAAGGAATTGCAGGCCCCATACTCTTGAATTTATTCCGTTTCAAACAGCTCAAGAGAGTTCCAACAAAAACGTGCCATCTTCTCGTGTGAGTATTATACAACTCTTGACAATAGAACAAACATTGTGACAACAAACAAGATGACATTGATCCAAACATCGAATCAAGCTGTCAAAATCAACATCGATACATTTTTAAAAGCCAAATTACCACATTAAAAAGCTATGAAAAGATTTAACACCTCCCTTCAAAGTTACACATAATGCAAAAGTACACTACCCAAGGGACATTATGATACAAGCCATACCAACAGCTGTTAACTGTCTTCCCGCAGTTTTATAATTTTCTATGCCAACAGATATAACCATCAAATATCTATTTTGACCAATGTGGGAATTCCATCCAAAGTTAGAAGGACCACATGAGATAGCAATCCCAACACTGTCTGAAGCATAAACAAGACCATGTCTTATGCAAGTAACAGAAGGATTGCTACTCAAAGATCTCCGCAATGAAGGTAACAATTCCAAGATTTGACCAGATGCTCCATAGTCCATCCTAACCACATGACTGCAAGCATCATATCATATGCTAGAGGTAGACTTCTCGGCTACATTATATCCACTTCAAAGCCATTGCTGAGGAACCCTATTGGACCAAAATTCTTCTACAAACCCACAGAATATCTCAAGAATAAACAACTCCAAGGGATTGCCTAGTGGTGATGGATCGATCAAAACATCCAACCCACTCTCAAACTTGGGGCCAGCATCACCAAAGAGAAGAAAGATGGTGCTACATTTTCCATTCCACCTACGGAATGAAGCACAACAGCTAGGGCAAGGATGATTAACAACAGCAACCAGGCCAGCAAACTCAACTCCAAACCTTGATAAACTCCGTTCCCACTTCCTGTCTTCCTCATAGTACAGAGTAGACTACTAGTCAGACTCATCCGTCCCTTATCAGAACTCATCAGACATTATTGCCGGAACAGAGAAGAATCAAGATTCTCCACTCACCCCGAAGAACAGCCAAGAGAGTACATAATCCAGTTTAGCAGCTGATCCCAAAGCATAAGAAAGGCGATTGAATATAACATTATCAAAGAGGGAAAAAGATCAAAGCCAAACGAAGCAGAAAAAGGCGGAAGATTTTCCATCACAACTGATCACGCCGGCAGTAATCGGGCAGAATTAGGGATTAACAAAACAGAATCACGCCATTCTCAACATCAGCGACGACTGGCAACCAAGGAGATCCGTACCAAAACTTCACACCACGGATTCATCCCCCAATTCCGAATCCCGAGCCGCCCCAAAACAATTGAATTACAATTGCGGCAGACTCGTCGAGGAATTCACCCCAGAATGAGAACGGAATTCGAAATGACGGGAGAAAGATACATGAAAGAGAAAGGAGGGGGTGCCAACCTGGAAGAAAGATGGGAGGGGAGAGAGGAGACGAGACGGAGTGATCGATGCTGCTGTTGACGACCACGGCAACGTCGACGACGACGGCGGCGGCGGCGGCGGCTGCGAAAGCGATCGGAGAGGGGCAATCGAAGCGCGCGAGAGATCGCAGGTGGAGCAGACGGATTGATTTTGGACAGAGAGCGGTTAGCACGGTGGGAATATGGGGGGAGAAGAGAGACGAAAGACGGGATGGGTGTTTCGAGGCCCAAACTGAATCGACGGAATTAGGGTTTTGAGAGAAAAAGGGGCAGAAAAGGAGAGCAGACAGAAGAAGTTATTTTATTTAATACCAAAACCAATAATAATGTTGAAGTTCATAATGGCTTTATAATTTATTTTATTTGTTTTGTTTTTTGTTTCTTTTACGGACTGAATAAAAGTCCAAACACAAACAAAATTAACTTTTTCGTTATTATAAAATAATATAAAATCCGCACCACGTAGCCGGATCAAAAGCTGGTTGGCTTTGTCCGGCCCGCTCCCCTCTTTGACACTTCTTCTCTTCTAGAGGGCACCTTTGACACTTTATTCCGTTATTTACATGAACCAAGGCATTGCTGAAATTATAAAAAAAAATTAGGCACAAGTGCATGTACTTGAATAACATACTAGTTTAGCTATATCATGTTTAAGTTGTCGTCTCAAATTGTCGGAGTTCAATTACGCAAATTCTATAGGTTAATATAAAATCGGCCTACCGTTTGGCGATCAATCTAGATCGACAGAAAGGAAGATGGAGAGCTCAGGTTAGTTGGATCCGATTATGGGATGCCAATATTCCCCCAAAACTAAAGGTGTTCGTTTGGCAGATCTTTCATAGAATTTTACCTACCACGGAGGCCATGATTGAGAAGAAGGTTGCAGTTTTACCTAGATGCCCCGTGTGTTGGGCAGATTCGGAGACTCTGGAACATATGTTTTTGGACTGTCCAGTAGCTCGTGCCCTTTGGGATCATTTTTTGCTTGCTCATCTTGGAGAAGGGTTGCCTCGTCATACCTTCCCCTCTCTTTGAAGAAATTATTGGCTTTGATTCATCAGCCAATTATGATCATGTCGATTGTTGCTGTCCTATGGAGGATTTGGCGATCTCGAAACTGGGTTGTCTTTGACGGCAAGCAGTTTGGGATCCCCGCTCTGATACGACAATACAGCCAACAGGTCCAGGAATGGGTTAATCTACCGGTAGACAAGGTCCTTCCTGCTCCTCACTCCCCTTCTCCTTCCTCGGACCCAACTGGGTTGAATTCTGTGATTTGTATGTGGGATGGGGCGATTAGGAATGGGTCGCATTCGGCAGGTGGAATGGTCCTCATGACTTCAGCTAGAGAGGTTCTTTTGGTCAAGGGGGTACAATTCCCGGAGATGGATGACCCCATGCTGACTGAGATGCTTGTTCTCCGGGAGGCTATTGTGTGGTGCGTGGGTAATGGCTTCACTGCAGTTAGGTTTGAAGGTGATGCCCAGGTTATCATAGAGAAGATCCTCCGGAGGGACACACGGGATAACCGAGTGGGGTCGATCCTCGAAGAAGTAATCCAGTCTTTTGACATGAATAGGGGATTCAGTGTACGATTTATAGGTCGGCGTAACAATAGGGTAGCTCATTTGGTAGCTAGGAAGGCCCTTTCTTTGTACCCGACTACAAGTCGTTTATTTGATTTTCAGGCCTCGCTGAACTCTAGGATGTAATGATTTATTTGTTCAATCAAGGGTTAATATTACTACTAGTCTAAATCTATATAGGCCAAGTAGACATTTAGGATCAATGAAGGGTTTTCATCATTGATGTCAATCACCATTCACCGAACCATCAAATCCTAACTAGAACATTTTGGAAGTCGGATTGGTACATATTTCTACTAACCAATAGAGATAAATATGGTAGACCAAAAAACACACTTTCTCTTTCAATCTGTAATGCATATGATTAAGAAGATGTGCTAAGTAGACGATCGAGCATCTTTGTTACTCGCATTGAACAACGACTAAAATTGCATATGAAATTTTCTTTTTTATTAATAACGAAATAGTATCCAAACAGGCATACAACTTTAGAATAGTCGAAGGAGAGTGTACATCAATACATCAACGTCCAACGACAAGAACTTCGTAGCTAGATACAGTGAAGCATCGATTGTATGTAAACCAATTGTATCTCTAATTTGCGTCACATCTCTAATTTGATGAATGTAAACCAATTGTATCTCTCTCACACACATGCATGGTCGACAAAAGCCTCCAGTTTCTGCTTTACCCTTTTTCACTTGCTTACTCCCAACTGGCAACTTTGATGCCTTCAATGCATCCCTTTTGCTACTTTCCACTCACAACTTTATACCCCATTACTGAAAGCCACTTACCCACTTTGTTTGGTGAGACTTTCGTACATCCACCGCCATAAACAAGGCCAGCTCTTTTTCACCACAAGCGGAACGATCCCCCCAAAGAGCAGATAGAGAAGCATATTGTTTCTCGGTGGCTATCAGATTAATCCATGCTTATCCAGAAAGGCTTTAGCCAAATTGCTGAAGCTTACAGTATCAGAAGCAGCATATCGCCTGATAACGTCAACGACTTCTGGCTTTAGGATCTCGGCTTTGGCTGGTGAGTCACATAAGTAATAAAGGGCCGCAATAGAATAATTGACCTGCAATAGTAGTTATAAGAGCAGTTACAACAACGATTCCATTGTTCGATTGCCCGCTTTGGCTGCTAATAGACATGGTCCAAACATATTGATTCAGACAGATGAGGCAGAACAAAAAGGAAAACAAAGAAAGTAGACAATGTAAAAAGGAGGTGGATGTTTGTGAGCTTCATCCTTTGCAGGTGGATTGGATGAAATGCAGGCCATATTCCCAGAAAGATGGCCCAACAATTTATGAAATGAAATCGAAATAGGTCACGGTTCTTGGTGGCACGATTTGTTGACGAGGGTTCTGATAGCAATGCTCAATACAAAAAAGGCAACGCTAACATGGTAATCTAAAGGATGCCACAGATATGCACAAAGAAGATAAAACGGCAAGGGGATGATAACCTACAATGTTTTTGACCGGGCTCGATAAACACTGGATAACAAGAGGTACTCCGCCATTCTGAGTGACAACTGCAGCATTTGATGGATCTGCGGGCAGTCAGGGACAGCAAAAAGACCAATCAGGTAAACAATAGAAAATAGGCCAGCAAACACTTGAGGATATCTTGTCACAGTTTACAGCATCAGTAGATCTTCATGGGGTATTAGCAAAGTAAATAACATATGCAATTTCAGTTTCGTACCTACACAGGAATTACAGATTCCTCCAACCCCAAACTCAACAAGCTTTTCATTTGGTTCTGTTAGGCAGTCTAGGAAGAGTTCCAAGACATTGAGCTGTCAAAATTATGTAGACCAAGTGTGAATACAAAATGCTTCTAGTGTCTGGGTTCAATAAACTCTTTTAAGAACAATAGAAGCTATGAACCTGGCGTAAGAAAGGATAGTTGTAAGGATCATAAGCAAAGTTTGCCAAGTTAGCAACCAGACGTTCTCTTGTTTCTGCATCCAGAAGCAGGACAAATATGTGATATAACATTGAATGAAGGAATCTTAAAAAAATGAATCGATGTGGCTGTTAATTAACACAGACATAAACAAAATCCCAAATGGGAAGTAAACTTGGTAGAACAATTGATCTGCAGAGTTAAGCTCCAAAGTATAAATCTCGGTGAGTATCCAAAGTAAGAGGGTCTAACGTGCCCAATTTCCGGACCCTTTATCATAGTCTATATAGTCGATAGGGATGGAAGCTTTTGGAATTCATTAGACATGATGCTATACCTGCATACTAGAGAAACATCTAGTATGTATACACATTTACTTATATTCACTTGACACAATTGCATTGAAGAGCAGGATATCATAAATAAAACCATTCAGATTTATAGCTCTACTTGCAGAATATATTCAAAACCCTCCTGTCAGGATCCAAATCATAACCAGAAATCTTGATGCCTGGTTGGTATGCAGAGAAGACCATTTTCAATCTGAAATGGGTTGCCCTCTCTCAAAATCTTATTCATTTACAAGTTTAGAATTCTGCAGTGGAGCCTTTTTAACAACAGCAGGTTTGCCACGGACCATTCAAGAGATAAAACCATAGATTGCATATACTCTCAGAAACCACCAAGTATAGACCAGGTAAACATAAGGCGAATTTGGCATACCTTCATCAGTTGCGTTCTGGAACTGGCCTACCAAGTCCTGCAGCAAAACAAGGATCGCATACATTTCAGAGGGCACAATTATAGAGTACTACAAAATCGATCTATCCTCCTGTTTAAACATGAGGTTGGGTGAACAAACCTGAAGGTATTGCAGCCTCGGCGTTCCACTTTTTCCTGTTCGTTCCTCTTGCCTACGGTCATTCGTAAACATATCTACTTCCTATTACGGCATTGACGGCGAGAGCGGCAGCAGGAGAAGAGAAGAGAACACGGTCTCTTGGCGAATGAACAGCGTAGAATCGGTTGGGCGGCAGTAGCGGAGGAGAGCGCGACAAGGGAGAATCGCGGCTGCTGGAGGAAGAGGACGGGTGGAGAAGGCCGTCGCGAACAAACACGACTGTATGCAACTCTTGGTTGGTCTTGGGGGTCAAATAACTATTTGGTCACCAAACTCACAATTATTTATCACATCGGTTCCTTATGGAAAAATAATCCATTGATAGCATCCATTCGAATCTTGATACTTTTATCGAAGAAAATTCAATCGATATTATTTTTAGTTGAGCTTTTTCCAAACTCGACAAAAATGGTAATAGGTTTGGTAATTTTGATATTTTATCTATCTGCACCAAACTCACCCAAATAAGTGTAACAACTATGGCGCAGACTCACTCGTGCTTCTACACTTTAGTTATTCATATCACTCAATTATTATAATTATCTTTTAGGTGAGAATCTTACTAATTATCTCTCACTTTTATGAACAATACTTTAACAAAACTTGAAAGTAACATCAATATTGGGAAGGAAAAAAAGTTCCCTTTATACCAAGAACTTTGTATACGATTATTCGAGGATGGTGGAGATAAGCTTTCTCTGAACCACACACGAGTAAGTTTTGATATGTCGTTTTACAATCCTGCCTACTTTTGATTTCAAGGCTGATTATGATTTCAAAACCATAATTGAAAAACAGTATATAGGAAAACTGCGCCATCCGAACCTATTGTCAGTAACTAGTAAGTTTGAAAAACAAAGTAGAGGAGTCAAATTATAAAGGGTAAATACAATATATTAGCCACAACTATTATGAAGTGGAGAGTTATAGCTACAACTATTGGTCGACTCTCGCTCTTTTCTTTCTTCCTCCTTGTGACTTTCTTTCAACACTGACTTTGCGAAAAGAAAAAAAATTATAGCCCCAACTATGGAAATTCAAATTATTAGCCAAACGTTAACTCTCTGTTAATAATTCCGTTAGTAATGCTGACTAAACTTTTATGTTTTAAAGTTATAAATTAAAAGCAGTCCGACGTGGCTGCTGCCGTGACCGATGACGTGGCCTTCTCCGTTAAAAATACCATAATAGTAACGGACAATTAGCCATATCTTGACCCGTAAAAATAATTATAACTAATAATTTGAATTTACATAGTTATGGCTATAATTCCGCACTTCAATATAGTTGTTGCTAATATATTGTATTTACCCGATTATAAACTTCAGTTAAATTCAGGAACCTATTGGTAACTTCGGCTTGGAATTTAGCAAAAGTAATTTTGAAACCCTAAATTACCCTCCCCCGCCGTCGCTTCCCAAGTCTATCGTGTCGCGAGGCGGTCAATTGCAATCCAAAGACTTCTTTTTTTCTTTCGTTGAATTAATCCAAAGACTTTCTTTGTACACTTCTTTTTAGTTTTTTTCCCCCAGTTTATTTATTTATAAAATAGACTGCAATTGAAATTAAGATGGGATTGCCGCTACTCCTCTCCTCATCTTCCCTTCCAACTCCTTCTCCTGCTCTCGAGGGTTCTAGGGTTTTGGCTTTCGCCGGATCTTAATCTGCTCGAGTGTTTCGCCTACTTTGAAGAAGGAGATAGTATTGCTTGGTCGCTCGCTCGCTAGTTCCAGCAATGAAGAAAAAGCTCGACACTCGCTTCCCCGCTGTACTTACTCTTCTCCCTGTTTCTTTTTCCCCTCCTTTTACCGTGGCTGGCTTCGACTTTCTCTCGCTTTATTTTTCTCGTTTGTTTCTGTGCGTTTCCTTGTTGTGTTCTCTCTGGTAGAAGAAATTGTTCCTGAAGGTACAGTCTGAAGAATAAGGAATCCCAGGATAATCAGTAGCGCTATCTCGTATAAGATTACTGTTTTTGGTTGCCCGTAATGCCGTGGTTTAGGGTTTATGTTTAGAAGATTTTTAGTTAGAACAGAAACGGATGCAAAAAAGGCTCTAACTCAGAACCGACTTGTTGGAATGCTCTTTGAGTTCCTTTTAGTTTTTACCAGAAAGGTTGGTTCGCTTGATGTTTTGATTTTGGGACTTTTTCGGCTCGCGTTTTAGGTTTCGTGAAGGGTGGTTGCAGTTCTAGTTGACATTTTTAGTGGGTGAGATAGCATCTCTTGGGCATTAGTCAGCTTGTTGATAAGATTGATTAATTATTGTTTTTAATTTTTATGTAAGAGTATGTTATGGCCGGTTCTCTCTTTTGGCATTTTCCCAATACTAATTAGGCTAAGCTTGTATCAGGCTCGCATCAAGAAGATTATGCAAACTGATGAAGACATAGGGAAGATAGCGATGGCTGTGCCTCTTCTAGTTTGTAAGTTCTGTTATCTCTCAAATTTAACTTCCTTTTTTTTTCTTTTCTCTTCTGTTTATGCTTTGTCTGTTTGTTTGTTTCAGTACTGTGGGGTGCAAGGTCTTTGAAGTGCACCATTAAGATTATTAGAAGACAGCTAATATATATTTCTGATTTTGGGTTGAATTTCAGCAAAAGCTTTGGAGCTGTTCCTGCAAGATCTGTGTGATCGAACCTACGATGTAACTCTGCGGAGAGGAGCCAAGACCTTGAATTCATCGCATCTGTAAGTGGAACTTTTATCCATTGCCAACTATTTCCTAAATGCCCTTCTTTGCGATTGATGATACAATTCAATTGAGTTTGTAGTCTAGCTAATTTCCTGGGAGGTTTGAATTGCTTGTCCCCATAATATCTTCTCTGTCTGTTCATCTCTCTGTCTCTGCCAGTATTGTGTACTGCCTGTAACTGAATTGGTTCTTGTTGTTTCAGGATGGGTCGTCTATGCAACTTCTGTCTTCTGTATGTGACTTGTCTTGGTTCTAAGTTGATATGAATCTTTCGCGTTGGTTATTGCAGGAAACAATGTGTCCAGAACTTTAACGTCTTTGACTTCCTAAGAGAAATCGTCAGCAAGGTTCCTGATATGGGTGGTCCTGAAGCTGCCAGTGATGATAACCATTGCGTCAAAAGAAGGTTTGTTATTTGTGTGTTTTGTGCTGTTATTAGAAAGGTCGAATGTTTTCTATGACTAATTCGTCTATAACTCTACGTGCTTCAGGAAAGTTGCTGATGTTGAAGGCAATGGGAATGATGAAGAGTTCCATAGGGGTGTCAAAGCTGTGAGTGTTTAGCAAATCGGAAACTATTTATGGTTTTAGTCTGTGTGTGGTTGGTACTAAGTCAGTCCTTGCGTGAATTCTGAAGTTGATATTTGTTTTCGCAGCATGATATTGTCAGCCACACAACAAGCAACGGCAGAGGGCGTGGTCGCGGAAGAGGTAGACCTCGTGGGAGTGGTAGGACTACTGTTGAGAGGCAGCATCCTACAGCCCACTACGACAAGTACGAAGACGACCCTGATTTGGGGCATGGTGATGATGACGAAGACGATGATGGGAAATATAGTCCTGGTGTCGTGGAAAGATTGAACAACAATGGCGGGCAGCCCCGTTCGAACCTGAAGGAAAATGTTCCACCATCCTTGAATTGTGGGACACCTGTTCATGATTTCGACCTGAATGCCGACTTGGATGAGAACGGAGAATCGAAGCCAGTTTCACCTCCTCCTCCTGCTGCTGCACCACCACTTGTTCTGTTCCCTGCATCTGCTGCTGCTGGTCAACAACCGAGCCTCTCGCCGAAGTCACCTCTACTGAAGAAACACATGGAATTCCTTGGCTGGTCGTTTGCTGATGTCGAGAAGATGGATATTGACCCCAGCCAGCTAGCAAATTTGAACAGGATGGATGAGGATGATGAGGAGGATTATGATGAAGAAGATTGAAGCTCTAGCTTTGGCCGATTGTATATTCTAGTAGTCTAGAAGTAGCCAAGTAGAATGCCTAGTCGGTAGAACCACAGTTGGGATGTTAGAAACCTGAAGGGATGGATGATTGTTGTAGGGCTAGGTCGGAATGGGCTCGTCTTTTTTTTTCATCTATGCAGAGAGCCTTTGTAACATAGAGATAGCTTCATGTAACCGGGGTTTGGTAGTGTTTTTTGGATGCTTTGGCCCGGTTGGTTCATTGGACCGTTTTGGAATGGTAAACAGCAAAGTTACTGAAAAGATTTGGGGCAGTAATTTGGAACCTACGGTATTCTTCATATTGTAAAGCCTACTTTACTTGACTGTCCATGTAGTGTTTCTCATTGGACAAGATTGGAAAGTTTTGTTACCACATTTAGTTTAAGTTACAAGTATAATTTGGTACACATGTCATTAAGTTTATGAATGTGCTCAATCTAAGAAAAGTGGGTTTTAGGGAATATGATAAAAGTGTGATTTGGACATTTCATACGGTTAGATGTTTGTAAGATGTAATGCTACAAAAATATGATGTGTACAATCCAAGAAAATTGGGTTTCATGGAATGTGTAGTAGGAGGTGATTGTTTTGAAGTAAAATCAAAACAAGGAGAAAACACGAAATTTTACGATGAAACGTCACACTCAATGTCCTGTGCGAAATATGATCTTCAACTCTCAATAAAACTGAATTTTGGATTTCATGATGATCAGTTCTGTTGCACTTATAAGTGCAAACAATCAAATAATGCATTCGCCTACCTTTCATCTTTTCGTCAAATGTAGCCACGCAAACTAACCATAATACAATTAGAACTACTTACAGAACATGATTATCTTTCATTGTTTTGAATTCACTGGGATACGAAATTTTCATAACCAATAGTACAATCAGAACTTAATCAATACATGAGTTTGTAAGAAATGACACAACTAATTAGACAACTAAACTATGTCTATGTGTCTCTTCTTCATTACAAAGCAAAACCACTCAGCAACCCTCTTCATCCTAGCTCTGGAAAGTCTTCTGGAGGAGAGTGTTCTGCATCCAGTCTTCTTCCTTTCCTCCCATTCTAAACCTGCAAACCTGTTCTGTACCGCTCGCAAAACTCATGAGGAAGCAAAGGAAAACCAGCAGCTCCAGGGAGCCTCTGTTTTTGCTGAACCTGTTCGATCACCTTCGTCCTCTGGAATCCACCGGATACAAAAGGATGTCTGAGGAGCGAATCCGCATTGGGGCGGCGGTGGTAATCCTTTGCGAAGCACTTGATCAGGAAGTCTTTCCCAGATTCCGACAACCACCCTGGAAATTCCGGCCGGCATCCATCCCTGACCTCCATCAACACATCCTCAATGTCGTGCAGCCTGGTCCACGGTATCTCTCCGGTCAGCATCTCCAGAACCGTACACCCCAATGCCCAAATATCCATCGCCGGCGTAACTATCCCATCCACCAACACCTCCGGCGGCACATACCTCGGCGTTCCCCTGTTCTTGTTACCCCTCCCCTGAATCAGCTTCCACGTCTCTACCGCCAAACCGAAATCCGCGACCTTCAATTTCCGAATCTTTTCGTCTCCCCTGTTTCCATGCTCTGCCGCCGGCGACCCAGGGAAGGCTAGAATGTTCCGCGGCTTGATGTCACAGTGGACGTATCCCAGAGAATGGATCGAGGAAAGAGCTTGGAGGATCATCCGAGTGTAAACCCTGACGTGATTCTCTGGAATTCCCGTACCTTCTTCTTCGCCGTATTTGGAAATCAAGTCGGATAGAGAACCTTCGGAAGCGTACTCCAAAAGCAAGTAGTAAGTTCTCTTCTTCGATGGCCCGCCGTCGAGGCACTGAATGATTCCCGGGGTCCCGAGGAACTTGAGGAGAATTTGGTGCTCGACAGAGAGAGACTCTGCCCTGTCTTCCGATGATATCTTCACCGCCATCTTCATGTCACTGATCTTGGTATTCTTTGGGATTGCCATGAATACCTCGCCAAAACTTCCCTTGCCCAAACGCATTCCTTGATCCCACTCCATCTTGCCGCCGGCGAAGCAGGGGATGAGGAAAGAAAGGAGAACAGAGCAAGAGATAGATAAGGTGGAGATTGCAAGGATTCTGAATATGGCAACGGATGTATAAATAGAGGTGATGAGATTGAGAGTAAAGTAAATGGAGGGTGTGGCGGCCGGTCAAACCCATTTCCGATTGGGAACTGGAAAGAAGAAGAATCCGTGTTAAGTTCAGAGCTCGGAGTTGTCCTTCTCCTTCAGGGACTCGGAAAACTAAAATTCTAGTATTGTGGCTACATCACTATTTGTTGTTATTTTTTTTTTAATCTAATGATTAATGATTAAAATTGCTTCAGATAATTTTAGAAACAAAAAAGAGTTTACACCCGATTATTCTATATATTCTATCCAAACTCTAATTTTACATTGTCCTTTCTCCAGCCAAACCCTATTTCATCGACGCTGGCCGCCGACTGTCGGCTGCCCGCACTCCATTCCACTCTCCTCCGCTGCTCTCTCTCCCCTCCGCCCACCTCCCTTCGCCGACCATCCCTCCTGATCCTCTTTCTCTTCCCATCCATTCTTCCTCTGTAGAAGACCCTCCCCACTATTCCTCTCTCTTCCCATCCATTCTCCCTCCGCAGGAGACCTCCCCACTCCTACTCCTCTATACCTAAAGGCTAAAAATGACGGCTAACAAAAACAATTTTTTTTTGGGAACTCGACTAGAGAAGACGACGTCTGGTTTTTTATTGGTATGTACTTTTTTGCATTGATAGTGTTTTTTCCGTAATGGTAGTGTTTTTTCGCATTGGTATTCTTTTTTCGCATTGGTATTGATTATTATGTAATGGAATTGATTTGCATGTATTGGTAGTTGGTTAAATCTACAATGGTATTGGTGTTTTGTAAAATGATAGTGTTTTTTCTCGTAATGGTAGTGTTTTTTCGCATTGATATTCTTTTTTCGCATTGGTATTGATTATTATGTATTGGTATTGATTATCATGTAATTGTATTATTGTAATCTGCAATGGCAGTTGTTAATAAGTGGTAGTGGTAGTGTTTCGTGTAAGGTTGCAGTGGTAGTTGTTAACGTTTTGGTATTGGTTTCTTGTTTTTTTTTCTTCTGAAATGGTATTGATTTTTTGTGAAATGGTGTAGATTTATATTGGTAGTTTGTTTATATTGGTAGTTTTCGTGTAATGGTATAGATTTACTTCTGCAATGGTATTGATGTTTTTCAAAGTGGTAGTGGTTGTCTAACAGATTGGTAGTGATTTCGTGTTTTTTTTTTTTTTGCAGATAGATTGAGAAAAATAAGGAAGGGCATCTGGTCGGAGATAACGAAAGTGAGAGAAAGAGAGAGAATTGTAATTAATAGATTTTTGTAACTAAATAAAATGAAATTTATTAAAATAATTTAATTAATACAATTTATTTTTCCATACCCAATTTATAGCCTTAGTAACCATGATGATTACTATAGTAATCACCGTAACCTGTCCCGGGAAAATAGCAATTCAGGTGAAAGTCATCGAATGAATTGGGTCACTTCTTACCTTAGCCCAAAAGGAAAAGGGTTGTTTGTGGGCTTATGGTTGCTACGGTGGACTCCTCCTAGTCAAATTGGGCCATTACTTTAAATCGCTCGAAAGAGAAGCCCATGAAGAAGCCCATTCTGAATCTTTTTCACCCCGTCACATTCTGTACTTGTTTTTTTCTTTTCTTTTTTTTGGTTAGAAGACCAATTGCACCCTAACTTTAATTAGAAACAAATCGTCGCTGGAAAATTTTCAAGACAACATGACAAGGCCAAGAGACTAATTTAGGCTCGCACTCGTCAAAATGATGTGTGCCAAAGTTCACTTTATGGCCTTTCTATGGCCTTTACTAGCAAGGTAGTCAAAATTGTCTTCACTATACACATGGGAGATATGAACTTGTAGTTTCTCAAGCTGAAGTTGTTTCTTTAACTGCGCTACCCACAATTAGTACATAGTACTGGTAGTTTGCTCCACATAACGTTACCAAATATATATTTGTACAATCTAAAAAGGATGGATCACGGAAAATGTGATAAAAGACTAATTTGAACATTTGTCACATTTGGATATAATTTTGTATGATGTGATATTTCGAAAACAAAACTTTTGCAATCTTGTTACAGCTTCTCTCAAATTTCTCTTTGGTAGATCATGCGAGTCAGTATAGCTTCTCTCAAATCTCTCTTTGGAATAAAATGAATGTATTGCTTCTTCTTGTTTATGTTGCTTCGTCTACTATGTTTCTAAAGATATAATTTACTCTTATTTAGCACGATTGCAAGAAAATTTTAATTTCACCAATATCTCATAAAGCTATCACGAGAACAAGACGGTTTTTGGTTGCCCGTAATGCCGTGGTTTAGGGTTTATGTTTAGAAGATTTTTAGTTAGAACAGAAACGGATGCAAAAAAGGCTCTAACTCAGAACCGACTTGTTGGAATGCTCTTTGAGTTCCTTTTAGTTTTTACCAGAAAGGTTGGTTCGCTTGATGTTTTGATTTTGGGACTTTTTCGGCTCGCGTTTTAGGTTTCGTGAAGGGTGGTTGCAGTTCTAGTTGACATTTTTAGTGGGTGAGATAGCATCTCTTGGGCATTAGTCAGCTTGTTGATAAGATTGATTAATTATTGTTTTTAATTTTTATGTAAGAGTATGTTATGGCCGGTTCTCTCTTTTGGCATTTTCCCAATACTAATTAGGCTAAGCTTGTTTCAGGCTCGGATCAAGAAGATTATGCAAACTGATGAAGACATAGGGAAGATAGCGATGGCTGTGCCTCTTCTAGTTTGTAAGTTCTGTTATCTCTCACTTTTTAACTTCCTTTTTTTTTTTCTCTTCCGTTTATGCTTTGTCTGTTTGTTTGTTTCAGTACTGTGAGGTGCAAGGTCTTTGAAGTGCACCATTAAGAGTATTAGAGGAAAGCTAATATATATTTCTGATTTTGGGTCGAATTTCAGCAAAAGCTTTGGAGCTGTTCCTGCAAGATCTGTGTGATCGAACCTACGATGTAACTCTGCGGAGAGGAGCCAAGACCTTGAATTCATCGCATCTGTAAGTGGAACTTTTATCCATTGCGAACTATTTCTGAAATGCCCTTCTTTGTGATTGATGATACAATTCAATTGAGTTTGTAGTCTATCTAATTTCCTGGGAGGTTTGAATTGCTTGTCCCCATAATATCTTCCCTGTCTGTTCATCTCTCTGTCTCTGCCAGTATTGTGTACTGCCTGTAACTGAATTGGTTCTTGTTGGTTCTGGATGGGTCGTCTATGCAACTTCTGTCTTCTGTATGTGACTTGTCTTGGTTCTAAGTTGATATGAATCTTTCGCGTTGGTTATTGCAGGAAACAATGTGTCCAGAACTTTAACGTCTTTGACTTCCTAAGAGAAATCGTCAGCAAGGTTCCTGATATGGGTGGTCCTGAAGCTGCCAGTGATGATAACCATTGCGTCAAAAGAAGGTTTGTTATTTGTGTGTTTTGTGCTGTTATTAGAAAGGTCGAATGTTTTCTGTGACTAATTCGTCTATAACTCGATGTGCTTCAGGAAAGTTGCTGATGTTGAAGAAAATGGGAATGATGAAGAGTTCCATAGGGGTGTCAAAGCTGTGAGTGTTTAGCTGTTTGCTGATGTCAATCATTTAAGTAGAAACTATTTACGGTTTTAGTCGTGTGTAGTTGGTACTTGGTACTAAGTCAGTCCTTGCGTGAATTCTGAAGTTGATATCTCTTTTCGCAGCATGATATTGTCAGCCACACAACAAGCAACGGCAGAGGGCGCGGTCGCGGAAGAGGTAGACCTCGTGGGAGTGGTAGGACTACTGTTGAGAGACAGCATCCTACAGCCCACTATGACAAGTACGAAGACGACCCTGATTTGGGACATGATGATGATGAAGACGATGCTGGAAAATATAGCCCTGGTGTCGTGCAAAGATTGAACAACAATGGCGGGCAGCCCCGTGCGAACCTGAAGGAAAATGTTCCACCATCCTTGAATTGTGGGACACCTGTTCATGATTTCGACCTGAATGCCGACTTGGATGAGAACGGAGAATCGAAGCCAGTTTCACCTCCTCCTGCTGCTGCTGCTGCACCTCCACTTGTTCTGTTCCCTGCATCTGCTGCTGCTGGTCAACAACCGAGCCTCTCGCCGAAGTCACCTCTACTGAAGAAACACATGGAATTCCTTGGCTGGTCGTTTGCTGATGTCGAGAAGATGGATATTGACCCCAGCCAGCTAGCAAATTTGAACAGGATGGATGAGGATGATGAGGAGGATTATGATGAAGAAGATTGAAGCTCTAGCTTTGGCCGATTGTATATTCTAGTAGTCTAGAAGTAGCCAAGTAGAATGCCTAGTCGGTAGAACCACAGTTGGGATGTTAGAAACCTGAAGGGATGGATGATTGTTGTAGGGCTAGGTCGGAATGGGCTCGTCTTTTTTTTTTCATCTATGCAGAGAGCCTTTGTAACATAGAGATAGCTTCATGTAACCGGGGTTTGGTAGTGTTTTTTGGATGCTTTGGCCCGGTTGGTTCATTGGACCGTTTTGGAATGGTAAACAGCAAAGTTACTGAAAAGATTTGGGGCAGTAATTTGGAACCTACGGTATTCTTCATATTGTAAAGCCTACTTTACTTGACTGTCCATGTAGTGTTTCTCATTGGACAAGATTGGAAAGTTTTGTTACCACATTTAGTTTAAGTTACAAGTATAATTTGGTACACATGTCATTAAGTTTATGAATGTGCTCAATCTAAGAAAAGTGGGTTTTAGGGAATATGATAAAAGTGTGATTTGGACATTTCATACGGTTAGATGTTTGTAAGATGTAATGCTACAAAAATATGATGTGTACAATCCAAGAAAATTGGGTTTCATGGAATGTGTAGTAGGAGGTGATTGTTTTGAAGTAAAATCAAAACAAGGAGAAAACACGAAATTTTACGATGAAACGTCACACTCAATGTCCTGTGCGAAATATGATCTTCAACTCTCAATAAAACTGAATTTTGGATTTCATGATGATCAGTTCTGTTGCACTTATAAGTGCAAACAATCAAATAATGCATTCGCCTACCTTTCATCTTTTCGTCAAATGTAGCCACGCAAACTAACCATAATACAATTAGAACTACTTACAGAACATGATTATCTTTCATTGTTTTGAATTCACTGGGATACGAAATTTTCATAACCAATAGTACAATCAGAACTTAATCAATACATGAGTTTGTAAGAAATGACACAACTAATTAGACAACTAAACTATGTCTATGTGTCTCTTCTTCATTACAAAGCAAAACCACTCAGCAACCCTCTTCATCCTAGCTCTGGAAAGTCTTCTGGAGGAGAGTGTTCTGCATCCAGTCTTCTTCCTTTCCTCCCATTCTAAACCTGCAAACCTGTTCTGTACCGCTCGCAAAACTCATGAGGAAGCAAAGGAAAACCAGCAGCTCCAGGGAGCCTCTGTTTTTGCTGAACCTGTTCGATCACCTTCGTCCTCTGGAATCCACCGGATACAAAAGGATGTCTGAGGAGCGAATCCGCATTGGGGCGGCGGTGGTAATCCTTTGCGAAGCACTTGATCAGGAAGTCTTTCCCAGATTCCGACAACCACCCTGGAAATTCCGGCCGGCATCCATCCCTGACCTCCATCAACACATCCTCAATGTCGTGCAGCCTGGTCCACGGTATCTCTCCGGTCAGCATCTCCAGAACCGTACACCCCAATGCCCAAATATCCATCGCCGGCGTAACTATCCCATCCACCAACACCTCCGGCGGCACATACCTCGGCGTTCCCCTGTTCTTGTTACCCCTCCCCTGAATCAGCTTCCACGTCTCTACCGCCAAACCGAAATCCGCGACCTTCAATTTCCGAATCTTTTCGTCTCCCCTGTTTCCATGCTCTGCCGCCGGCGACCCAGGGAAGGCTAGAATGTTCCGCGGCTTGATGTCACAGTGGACGTATCCCAGAGAATGGATCGAGGAAAGAGCTTGGAGGATCATCCGAGTGTAAACCCTGACGTGATTCTCTGGAATTCCCGTACCTTCTTCTTCGCCGTATTTGGAAATCAAGTCGGATAGAGAACCTTCGGAAGCGTACTCCAAAAGCAAGTAGTAAGTTCTCTTCTTCGATGGCCCGCCGTCGAGGCACTGAATGATTCCCGGGGTCCCGAGGAACTTGAGGAGAATTTGGTGCTCGACAGAGAGAGACTCTGCCCTGTCTTCCGATGATATCTTCACCGCCATCTTCATGTCACTGATCTTGGTATTCTTTGGGATTGCCATGAATACCTCGCCAAAACTTCCCTTGCCCAAACGCATTCCTTGATCCCACTCCATCTTGCCGCCGGCGAAGCAGGGGATGAGGAAAGAAAGGAGAACAGAGCAAGAGATAGATAAGGTGGAGATTGCAAGGATTCTGAATATGGCAACGGATGTATAAATAGAGGTGATGAGATTGAGAGTAAAGTAAATGGAGGGTGTGGCGGCCGGTCAAACCCATTTCCGATTGGGAACTGGAAAGAAGAAGAATCCGTGTTAAGTTCAGAGCTCGGAGTTGTCCTTCTCCTTCAGGGACTCGGAAAACTAAAATTCTAGTATTGTGGCTACATCACTATTTGTTGTTATTTTTTTTTTAATCTAATGATTAATGATTAAAATTGCTTCAGATAATTTTAGAAACAAAAAAGAGTTTACACCCGATTATTCTATATATTCTATCCAAACTCTAATTTTACATTGTCCTTTCTCCAGCCAAACCCTATTTCATCGACGCTGGCCGCCGACTGTCGGCTGCCCGCACTCCATTCCACTCTCCTCCGCTGCTCTCTCTCCCCTCCGCCCACCTCCCTTCGCCGACCATCCCTCCTGATCCTCTTTCTCTTCCCATCCATTCTTCCTCTGTAGAAGACCCTCCCCACTATTCCTCTCTCTTCCCATCCATTCTCCCTCCGCAGGAGACCTCCCCACTCCTACTCCTCTATACCTAAAGGCTAAAAATGACGGCTAACAAAAACAATTTTTTTTTGGGAACTCGACTAGAGAAGACGACGTCTGGTTTTTTATTGGTATGTACTTTTTTGCATTGATAGTGTTTTTTCCGTAATGGTAGTGTTTTTTCGCATTGGTATTCTTTTTTCGCATTGGTATTGATTATTATGTAATGGAATTGATTTGCATGTATTGGTAGTTGGTTAAATCTACAATGGTATTGGTGTTTTGTAAAATGATAGTGTTTTTTCTCGTAATGGTAGTGTTTTTTCGCATTGATATTCTTTTTTCGCATTGGTATTGATTATTATGTATTGGTATTGATTATCATGTAATTGTATTATTGTAATCTGCAATGGCAGTTGTTAATAAGTGGTAGTGGTAGTGTTTCGTGTAAGGTTGCAGTGGTAGTTGTTAACGTTTTGGTATTGGTTTCTTGTTTTTTTTTCTTCTGAAATGGTATTGATTTTTTGTGAAATGGTGTAGATTTATATTGGTAGTTTGTTTATATTGGTAGTTTTCGTGTAATGGTATAGATTTACTTCTGCAATGGTATTGATGTTTTTCAAAGTGGTAGTGGTTGTCTAACAGATTGGTAGTGATTTCGTGTTTTTTTTTTTTTTTGCAGATAGATTGAGAAAAATAAGGAAGGGCATCTGGTCGGAGATAACGAAAGTGAGAGAAAGAGAGAGAATTGTAATTAATAGATTTTTGTAACTAAATAAAATGAAATTTATTAAAATAATTTAATTAATACAATTTATTTTTCCATACCCAATTTATAGCCTTAGTAACCATGATGATTACTATAGTAATCACCGTAACCTGTCCCGGGAAAATAGCAATTCAGGTGAAAGTCATCGAATGAATTGGGTCACTTCTTACCTTAGCCCAAAAGGAAAAGGGTTGTTTGTGGGCTTATGGTTGCTACGGTGGACTCCTCCTAGTCAAATTGGGCCATTACTTTAAATCGCTCGAAAGAGAAGCCCATGAAGAAGCCCATTCTGAATCTTTTTCACCCCGTCACATTCTGTACTTGTTTTTTTCTTTTCTTTTTTTTGGTTAGAAGACCAATTGCACCCTAACTTTAATTAGAAACAAATCGTCGCTGGAAAATTTTCAAGACAACATGACAAGGCCAAGAGACTAATTTAGGCTCGCACTCGTCAAAATGATGTGTGCCAAAGTTCACTTTATGGCCTTTCTATGGCCTTTACTAGTAAGGTAGTCAAAATTGTCTTCACTATACACATGGGAGATATGAACTTGTAGTTTCTCAAGCTGAAGTTGTTTCTTTAACTGCGCTACCCACAATTAGTACATAGTACTGGTAGTTTGCTCCACATAACGTTACCAAATATATATTTGTACAATCTAAAAAGGATGGATCACGGAAAATGTGATAAAAGACTAATTTGAACATTTGTCACATTTGGATATAATTTTGTATGATGTGATATTTCGAAAACAAAACTTTTGCAATCTTGTTACAGCTTCTCTCAAATTTCTCTTTGGTAGATCATGCGAGTCAGTATAGCTTCTCTCAAATCTCTCTTTGGAATAAAATGAATGTATTGCTTCTTCTTGTTTATGTTGCTTCGTCTACTATGTTTCTAAAGATATAATTTACTCTTATTTAGCACGATTGCAAGAAAATTTTAATTTCACCAATATCTCATAAAGCTATCACGAGAACAAAAATAAGTAATGAATTAGACATTGATTGGATTGCCAAGTTACCTACTTTTCTCCATAAATTACTATCTTATTCTTATATGCAACCAAATCATGTGTGTTATGTGAAAGGTTGAGCATCATGACTAAATTGAATTTCACAACTTATACGTGTAGTTGGTATTTATTTTAACCTTGGTGGGCCAAATATGGGCCACTGTTCACTATTCGAGTGGGCAATGTGGCATGACCCACCAACATTCTCTTGCTACATCTGATCCATGCTCGGCCTCAGCCCATATGTCACATGATCAACAACAAAACCAGGCAGGGTCAGCATATCCCACGGTTTCCATTGGTACTCCTCACATATACTTGATCGGATTCGATGCTGAGACACTCGAGAATTCTTCTCGTGATTTTCATCTGGGCATCTTGTAGATCGATCAAAGCAGGCTTGAAAAAAACAAACACCCTGTGGATGTTTCAACCTGCAATAACTAAACCAGGGATTGTAAAACGGCGTCAGAGGTTGTACAAGAAAATTCAATGATATAGTATTTCGTACTTAAATCGTGGTTTAACCATCGTTCAACCATTTCATATTACTAAATACCGCCTACGAATCTAACATCTGATATGAAGTTTTTCCCGTCGAACCATCGGTGTAGTACGGTTTTTCAAACCTTGGTTATAACAATATTTTTCTTTAGTACATTCGGAAGAAGATTCAATAATTCAAGAATCACGTCTTCCTAATCTGTGAACATCATTTAAAGAGCTTTTCTAATCATATTTTTGTTACGGAAAATTCAAGTGATCCATACTCTTATAACATTGTACTACAAAACTGTTAGAAATAATAATCCGAAATTTTAATTTGTTTCTAATCAGTTAAAATTTAACCGGTGGGGCTTTCAAAAATGAGGGGATTCATTCAAAAAAAAATGACATTTTCGATCTAAATAAGAAACTAGCGTGGCCCCGGCCATTTGGCTGGAGGAATGTGAGGTATGAAATTTGATAATGTAATGGGGTGTATAGCTTATTGTTGTATAGTTTTTTTTGGGAAACACGTGATAAAAATAGTGAATTTTAGTAGGAAAGAGACATGAATGATGCAACGAATAAAAAATCAGCCTTATGAACCAAAATCAAGTACCTTTTACCTTGTGAAACAATATTGTTTCTGGTAAAATGATGAGGTGGAGTAAGTTTTATAGAAACCGAATTCCAGAAAATTGAATAAAAAATCGCTTATCCCTCTGGTTGTCGGGAAATGAGCATCTCACAATCGTTGCTAGCTTTTACTCGGCCCGTTGGCCGATTAATTTGCTTTATAAAACTTTCATCTTGTCATCATTGTGCTTTCTGGTTTTTTGCCAAGCCATGATAAAATCTAAAGAAATCAAGAATGAACAACACGATTTGGGATAGGAACCACTGTTCATGTATCCCTAGAAAATGGTGGTAAATACGGACTCACTTGCCAAACTGGTTTGGATTGGGATTTTTATTGGGTTTCAGGGAACCATGTGATTATAAATTAGACTTGATCAAAATGGGCCAAAACTTGAAATTTAGCCTGTTTGACCGACCCATGCCAAACTCTAATTATTCTTTACTTTTAAACTTTCTATTTGAAAATAAAAAATAATGAAAAAAGAGATGACTGCAATTCGCCATTTGCACATCACTGATTCGAGAATAAAACTATAGAATTTTGAAAAGAAACTAAAAATGTTTAGGATCGTTTTAATGTTAAAAATAACCAAATAGATCTTTCTGTTTAGTTTTTTACTAACAAATACCAAACGATTCCCTATAATATACACTATAATTTAATCATTATGATATCAAATAATTACATAATATATATTTGAAATGATAAAAATTGAACTAATTGGGTTGGTCGAGGTTGAACCATTGAATAACTTTAAAAAATATTATATTTTAGCCACTAAGATATGAAATAGGGTTAATATATTTGTATGGCCTGAACTTTTCACATAATAAACATCCTGACCAATCTTTTCGATCTATAACATAATGGCCTGAACTATACACCAAAGTAATGAAATTAGCCAAACTAAAAAATTGATCGTTATCTTGGACGGTCAAACGCGTAGACTAACGGTCAACGCGTCACGTCACCGCCAAGTCAGCACCATTTAAAATTTTATATTTCCACCTATTACTATTTTTCTTTCTTTTGAATCCAAAAAAATTGAAAAATGAATTTCTGGACCCAAAATTCATTTTTCATTTTTCAATTTTTTTAGATTCAAAATGAAAAATATAAATAATAATAGGTGGAAAATATTTTTTTAAGTAAAAGGTTCTTATTTGGCGTTGACCGCTAGTCAAAATGTTTGACCGTCCAAGATAACGGTCAATTTTCGGATTTGGCCAATTTCGTTACTTTTGTGTATAGTTCATGCCATGATGTTACAGATCGAAAAGATTGGCCAAGATGTTTATTATGTGAAAAGTTCAGGTCATACAAATATATTAACCCTATAAAATAATAGCATAATATATATTATACTAGAAAAAATAGCTTGTTTTAGAATGACAAACCCATGCAATCTTGCTATGGTGCACATAGAGGTTTTTGTGTGCACATACTCACAGCCACCCAATTGGTCCATGTCATTCTTTGGGACCCGTTGGAAAAATGAGTGGCCATAAATTGTTGGTTTGGGGAAGGGCTTGGGAAGAAACAAAAAGCTCACATGAGCCACTTAGCCAAGCCAAACAATTTATTTCTTTTGTTTTTTTATGTATTTCACAACCCCAAACTCCACTCATCACTCTCTTTTTCGTTTCCCTTTCAAATATCTATATTTCTCTCTCCCTCCCTCTCTCTATCCTGATATAAAAAATTTGAATGAGGAGTTTCCTTAAAATTTATCTGAGATTTCAGATCCAATATCCTCCGTATCTAGATCCGAGCTCATCCCGATCCACCAAGCTCCTTTTTTTTCCTCCTCCTATCCAAAGAACCACACTAAGCTCACTTCCGGATCGTCATGAGAAGTCCCTTCTCCGTATTTATATCCAAGATCATCCATATTCGGGTACTTCTCTCTCAAGCCAATGAACGTCGCATCCCTAGTCTCAGCCGAGAGCAGTAGCTCTGTACTTGGTGAATGCAATCTGCTTCACTTCCCCCCCACACGTCCTGGTTTAGTCGTGACGTCTTCGGTGCGGTAGTAGTTGAAATCAAACACAACTGATCTAGGTAAGCTTGTGAAGATCGATCAATTTGATCGCGGGGAAGATCGTCGTCGATTCGAAGAAGAAGAACCCTTTGATTCTTGGGTCCAAAGCACATGATTCGTCAATTATGTAGGAAGGCGAATAGAAATGTATGAAATGAGTTTAAATGAAATTGAATTAGTTTGCCTCATATTGAATATATCTGAATATGAGTTTACATAGCATTAAATATGACACCGAACATATGAATGTAAACTAATTATCATCTCTTGTACTAGTTTAACTAATATTTAATCTTGCGTAAATTAATATTCGGTACGAGGTTATTTTATATTCAATGTTTGCTCAATAAATATTCAAGTCAAATCAATCAATCATCTACGATACTAATTCAACTAATATTTGACACCACGTAAACTAATATTCGTTACTAGCTTATTTAATTTCAATGTTTATTCAAAAAATATTCAAGTCGAATAAATCAGTCATCTTTGGTACTAGACTACTAGTTCAACTAATATTTGATACCATTTCAACTCATATTTAATACCAAGTTAATTGATATTCATTATTTACTCAATGCATACTCAAGTCAAATAAATAAATTCTCATCTCTAATACTAGTTCAACAAATATTTGACGAGGTATCAAGTGATCTGTGTGCGATCTTCATAATCAGATGAACCATTATTGAAAGATATGTCAACAAATATTCATCACATACACGAAAAACATTCCAGACACAAACAAAACACATATTCAACATGTTACAACTAATATTCAACATGTTACAACCAATATTCAACATGATTACTACAAGTAAACAGAGTACATATATATCCTTTTCGGTTTCTTCTTCTTCTTCATTTGCTTGTATTAAAGTACCATTTCGTCACTCTCAACCTTTATGCCTTTTTCTTGGTCCTCTTAGTTAGGGTTCATTTGTGCGTCTCCTCTCTCACTTGTTCACTCCATCTCTCGTCGTTTGTTACTCAAGTGAGTGGGAGGAAGAAGATTTGTAACCCAAAGTGAACTAATATTAACATTTCATCGCCCAGACTAATATTCAACAGGTTAGAAAAAGTATTCATCATGTAAACAATTAGTATTCATAATACGAGTTTCTTATTGGAACTAGTATTTTGTATGTTTGAACTAGTATTCATCGTTCTGAAACTAGTTTATGTATGTTGAACTACTATTTTTCATTCTGAAACCAGTAATTGTTATATTGAGAAAGGTCACATACTAATTACATTTACAACTTGGATTCATTACACAAACATGTTGCAACTTGTATTCGATACTAGGAAAGCTAATATTTAGTACCAGATTAATTGATATTGAGTTTTCACTCAACAAATATTCATGTCAAAGAAATACATGTATTCGGTAACACTTCACTTCAAGAGATTCTTGTGTCTGTACTCGGGTCAATCCTCTTCCTTTTTTTTGATGAAGCAGCTTTTGGAATAAAGAGTAAAAATGGCAGAAAATGATGAATCAGAGGAAATGGCTTGCACTTACGTAGAAGGGCTAAGAGGGGTAAAAAATGAACCTTAGATCCATACCCCCTTTCATAAACCTTAAAAAAAACAAGAACAAGAGATGTAGAATAAAAGATTTGGAACCATAGATCTAGAATTTTAGAATCTCATGTTTCAATATTTTTCTTTGGGAGTTGAGAAGAGTGTGGAGAAAGAAAGAGAGAAATGAGAGTTTTTTCTTTTGTTAGATAGGAGGAGCAAAAAAAAAAAAAAAAAGAAGTTTTGTGGATCTGGATGAGTTTGGATCTAGATATGGAGGATATTGGATCTGAAATCTTAGATAAATTTTAGGGAAACTCCTCATTCAAATTCTCTTACAGAGAGAGAGAAGTTTGGGGTTTTGGGTACATAAAATATAAAAGAAATAAATTGTTTGGCTTGGCTAAGTGGCTCACATGAGCTTTTTGTTTCTTTCCAAGCTCTTCCCCAAGCCAATAATTTATGGCCACTCATTTTTTCAACGGATCCCATGGGATGACATGGACCAATGGGGGTGCTTGTGAGTATGTGCACATAAAAACCTCTATGTGCACCATAGCAAGATTGAAACCCATGATGTTCATTTGTTTTACTTGATGGGCAAATCCCGTGTAGGTCAGACCAATTCAACTTTTTTATTTTATGATTAGCGGTTAGCCCATTAGAATCCATGCATTAGTTTATTGTTAATTTTTTTTCTTTTTAGCAATAAAAAGGAGCATTGTGTTTGCCTTTTCATATATATATATTTTACCACCACGGAGAAATAAAAGGACTTAAAGAAAAAAATTGACACTCCTGGACCCGTTTAAATCCGCATGTGTACGGTAAGTTGGCCCGTTCCACAGAGGAAAAAGAAAAAATTTGACACTCCCTATTCTACTATTCCTACAAACGCTCCTGGAATAGGGAATTTGAAATGTGAGAATGATTTTTTCCTCTCTGCGATTATATCTTTTTAATTTAAAAAGATACAACAAATGTACTTAGTGTGATTGGTTATGATCTTTGTTATTCTTTAAAGTGATCATGGTTCGAATTGGGGCTTCAAGTTTTCTCATTTGACTTTTATTTATTGGGTAGATTGAATTCTTCAATACAAATACAAAATTGGCAGATTTTTTAATGGAATATATTCGAAAGTAAAAGGAAAAAGATAACCGCCGTAACCATAATCTGACAACCACAATCTGACGTGGATCAAGCAAAATACAGGAGAGCTTACGTGGCCAAGGCCATTTTCTCAAAATGCTTTAATATATTTTAAGAGATAAAATATTTAAGATTACAAAGCCAAAATCAATCAGCAGCCGCTCTTCCTAATTACGCCTAATTACGGAAGTCTTCTCGGGAATGTCGTAATGCACCACCCGCCGCCGTATTGAGCCTTCTTTCTCTGTTCCTATTCTCAGAAGAGCAAAACAGGTCCGCATTGACGGGAAATTCTCTGAGGAAGGAAACCAGCAGCTCCTCCATGTCTCCTCTGTTTCTGCTGCACTTCTTCGATCACCGTTTTCATCCTCGTCGTCGTCTTTTCGCTGTCCTGTGCCACGAAAGGATGTCTGAGCAGCGAATCCGCATCGCTGCGGCAGATGTAATTCTTCGCGAAGCACTTGTTCAGGAAATCCTTCGCGTCTCCCGACAACCACCCCGGAATCTCCGGCCGGCATCCTTTCCTGATCTCCCTGAACACATCCCGATCGTCGTCCAACCTATCCCACGGCATCTCCCCGGTGAGCATTTCGAGCACCGTGCAGCCCAGCGCCCATATATCCATGGCCCCAGTCACCGTCCGGTCAGCCAACACCTCAGGCGGCATGTATCTCAGCGAGCCCCTGAAATTCTTGCTGCCCGAAACCGTCGCGAAACCGAAGTCAGCCACCTTCACTTCGGGAATCGCCTCTCCTTCCCTCGGGAAGACGAGAATGTTGCTGGGCTTGATGTCGCAGTGGACGTACCCGAGAGAGTGGATGGAGGAGAGTGCTCTGAGGAGCGTAAGGGTGTAAACCCTAACGTGTCTTCGAGGGATTCCCGCTCCTACTCCGCGGCCGTACCGAGCGATCAATTCCATCAGCGAACCGCCGGAAGCGTACTCCAAAAGCAAATCATAACGCCTTAACCCGTCTACTGGATTTAGTTCCTCGGACAGCCCGCCGCCGAGACACCGGACAATCCCGTGAACACCGCTGAACTTTTCCAGAATTTGATGCTCGGCGGTTAGAGACTCCTTCTTGTCTTCTGGCACCGATTTCACCGCCATCTTTGGCTTCTTGGGGTCCGTCGGGATGGCGAGATACACCTCTCCAAAGCTTCCCTGACCTAGAGGCTTTCCTCGAGTCCACTCCATCTTTGCCGCCGGCGAATCAGAGAATTGAGAAGGAAAGAGGAAAACAGAGAGTGAGTAGTTGAGTGCGTTGGGAGGAGAGGAAGTTGGTCTGTCTCAATATGGCAACGAAGGTATAGTTTTATAGGGGGAGCAAAGTAAACGGAGGTCGGCGGCCGATCAAACCCTTTTCCGTTTGGGAACCGGAAATAAGAAGAATAAGAAGCCGTGTTAACTTCGGAGTTCGGAATTCGGATCTCCTTCTCCTTCTAGGTCGCGGAAAACAAAAGGGGAATAAAATATATTGGACCTTCCTTTTTTTATGTAAGCCCAAACGAAAAGGGTTGCTTGTGGGCTTTCGATCGCTACGAGTTACAACGGGCCCCTCCGCTCGAATTGGGCCACCAGGCTTCACTTAACTTAAGTCGCTCGAAAAGGAAACCCATAAAGAGCAAAGCACGAATAAGAGGGCAAAAGGGGAAAACATGTGAATGTCAAATTACCAATATACCATCACAATTCACAAGTAGGTATTTTCTGTAACCGGGGGTATGACTTGGTTACAGTGAAAATAGTCGCCCAGGTTAAGTTACCGTGGGGAAGAAGGCATTACAATACAGCAAATCCATGAGAAAGTGATAGAAATGTACCGGGAGTCATTACAGATCCTCTTTTATTATAGCATCAGCTTGTACTTACAGTAGGCTGAGCACATCTTTATGCAGTCTTCAGTTTTCTTAAGTCACCTGCATTATACGGCAAACTCATTGGCACCGGAAGAAAAGGCATGCAGGTAAAATGATGAAATCATACGATATCGATGATCAAAGGCGTCTAATCAATCACTCATCTGGACTATAAAGGACAGATTAGGTATTGAATTTCTCGGCCACGCAGTAATTGCATAACTGAAGAAATTGCTGAATTCAAAACTTATTCAGTACTTGTAGATGATAAACTTGCAAAACGGTTCGAGCATTCAACAATTTAGAGGCCAGATGTTCTTCTTCGGTATTCAATTATTGATTTGTGATTCATTAAACAACCAGAAGAGGAAAATCACAGAGAAAATATCTTCTTAAGGGAAAGACACATAGGCAAATGTGAATACTATGTGTCCTGTCTGTGCCCCCAACACCACCAAATTTCACATGACAGATCAAGTGCCCCTGACAGCAGACTAATAGCTTTATAGGGAATTTCTTCTTCCTGATTTTCTGGGTCCTTTAAAGGTAACTGAGGGAACCAGTCTAGGTGGAACTTTTACTAAGAAACAACACATAATCTCTCTTCCAATGTGCAACTGACCAAGAATGTAGCTCATAGAAGCAAAATCAAATGGTTCTCTTCATATGAACCACGCAAGAACTTTATCTCAATTTAAACGGACAATGATGAACAACACACACCGATCCTGTCAGTTTCTTCCATGAGAACAAACTAAGTTGAAAGACATCCAATTCCACGCTCAATCAAAATAAGCATCCATTTTCAGAAGACCAGCAAGGGATTGCTAGAGCTAATAAGAGGAACCTCATCTGTTTACAACGCACATTCATATTTGCAGCATGAAGGACCATCCAGACTTTCAAAGGGGCAGTGAGCCTAAATCCCTAGATGTGCCCTTAATCTGGGCTCAATTTTGCAGAGATTCGCCGCTTAATATGTTTATCAGGTTCGATCCTGTGCAGTTACTAGTTAGTTCCCGTTATCTTGCTTGTACCCTTAACCAATTTCTTCAAGCAAAGTTAGCTCATTTTCCAGAAAACACAAATTTTAAGTGCTAGCTAGCAGTACCCAGCTCAAACATTATCCAAACTGCAGCTTAAAAAGTAGAAAGCCAAGAGACCAACCTGACTAGGCATCGCCGACAGGTTTGAAGTGCTGGAGCTCCTTGAAGTTCATCCATGGCTTCACCCACACCTTAGCTTCATAGGCCTTCTTCTCCCCGCCCTCAGTTGCTTCCAAGGTAATATGGTGCATCGTGCCGGACACCACCTGCTGCTTTGTCTTGACAACACTGTGGAACTCCAGCAGCGCATTCTGCACCAAAAACAAACACAAGTTCACTGCTCTCAATTCATTATTTATCAAACGAAAATTCGACAGAGGCGCCGCGGGAACTGATGATCGGTCCTCATAGGAGAACCACACCATCAATACGAGTACATGTAGATTTCCATTCCGTAGTGATCGCCTCCGATCCGCTTCAAACAGCGATCAATCGGGAGAAAAAGGGGTAAAAAAATGTGTTAGCTACCTGTTTCTTGTTGTGTTCATCGACGGCGAAACGTGCTAGCTCGTCGATCTCCAGGCTGTTGGCCGATCCTTCGGCTTCACGAATACCTCCTAGCGTCGCCATTGTTGCTGTCTCTGCTTTCCGAGATTCTCTTGGTGGGTTTCTTTTTCTTTTAGCGTGCTTCTGCTGCTACTATGGATATGGCCTGGCATCTTTTATTGTGAGCAGCCAAAATAACGCAATAAATAATTTTCAGTTAATTAAAATATTATTTATCCGGAAAAGACCGCGTCTTTCTTATTGGCATTCCATCGAACACATTGTAGGCAGAAAACCCAGATGACCCAATTCACAGTACCAAATGCACGTAGCATTGCGATTTCAGTCCCGCATCAGAACAGTAGCGTCTGCTACCTTCCAGTGCAACAAAGTCCTTTTCTCAACCTTATATTCGGAGGAACAAGCTGTGCCATCATCCTTGGTTTCCCATTACTTTGCACTTCTACACTCCTCCAATCACCCTACTCATCTCGGCCACCTCCATGCTCGCTTGCTCCGCACTACCCTTTACGACAATGTGATTCTCAGTTCCAAGCTCGTTTTGATGTACTCCCGTCTCGGCAAGCTCAACCCTCATTCTCTATCCGTCTTCTTCCACATGCCGCACAGAAACGTCTACTCCTGGAACATCGTGATCGGCGAGTTTTCTCGCTCCAATATGCCTGAGAAGTCCATTGAGCTGTTTATTCGCATGTGGAAGGAAGCCCAAGCACGGCCGGACGATTTCTCACTCCCTCTTGTTTTACGGGCCTGCGCTGGATGTGGGTCGATGGGATTAGGCGTTGGAGTACATGGGTTATGTGTGAAATTGGGATTGGTGGTCAGCATCTTCGTTGCGTCGGCTTTGGTTTTCATGTATGCGACTCTGGGTAAGATGTCTCATGCGAGGAAGGTGTTCGATGAAATGTCGCAAAGAGATGCTGTGCTATGGACGTCTATGTTGGCTGGATATGCTCAGACGGGGGAATCAATGTCAGGCCTGGAATTGCTCAGGGAAATGATAAATTCTGCTGTTGAGCTTGATTGGGTCGTTATGGTGAGCTTGCTTACCATGTGCAGCCAACTGGGTTGGTTGAAGCAGGGGAAGACTGCTCACGCTTGGTGCTTGAAAAATTGTCTGGGAATGGAGTTGAGCTTGGGAAACGCCATTGTCGACATGTATGTGAAGTGCTCCAATCTGACCTACGCGCAAACGATGTTCGATACCATGCCTGCAAAGGATGTGTTCTCTTGGAGCTCCTTGATTCTGGGTTACGGGTTGAGTGGCAATGTCAGCGTTGCCCTGCAGCTATTCGATCATATGCTTAGGAGAAGGTTCAAGCCGAATGAAGTCACGTTTCTTGGCGTTCTATCAGCGTGTGCCCATGGCGGGTTGGTGGAGCAGGGGCGTCGGTGTTTCGACATGATGAGAGACCAGGGGGTCGTTCCTGAGCTGAAACATTATGCAAACATGGTTGATTGCTTAGGAAGAGCAGGGCGTTTGGAAGAAGCGGAGAGATTCGTCGAAGAGATGCCGATGGAACCTGATGTAGCTGTGCTGGGAGCTGTACTAGCAGGGTGTAGAGTTCACAACAATGTCGATGTAGGCGAACGATTCGCCAAGAAATTGATGAGGCTGGAACCAGGGAGAGCTGGGTACTATGTGCTTCTGGCGAACATGTATGCAACAGCAGGCAGATTTGAAGATGCTGAGATGGTTAGGAGCTTCATGAAGGATGTGAATTTGGTCAAGGCACCTGGATGTAGCTTGATTGAGCCCAACAAGCATTCTTTCCCCTTTGAAGTTGCAGAATCAGGTTCAGCTTTGCCATGATTGAAACTATCCGTGGGATGCCAGGATTCTGAAGTTCTCGGCTGTTTAGTTTTATGGCTGATACTTTTGCAGGATGAATCATAAGGTCCGGATAATCGAAACTTTGGCCTATTCGGCACCCCACAGAGAGGTCAACTTTGTGGCCGATCACTTAGTTTGGGTAGGTTACACTTTATCGATATCTTTCAACTCCTAAATCTGCCACGGTTTAGATTGATGACGATAATATAAAAGAACGAATGAAATAAATTTCTTACATCATCAATCATCAATCAATTAATTAAAAGTTCAAGTTTTTTTACGGTTCCATACGACATTATCGCTAGGCAAGGAAAAGTAAGTGTGACAAGTTTTACATGGCTCATCAATTATTGTTTGGGGACACTGTTCACAAGGAATTCATTACATGTGACCAACTTCACAATAAGTTTTTATTTTTACAATAAACTTTATTCCATGACACCAATATTTTATATTGTTTGTTCCATGGACCAGTGTCTATTATTAAGGTTTTCGAGGGTATTGTTCACAATTACATGAAGTTTTATACCAACTTTATATATAATTTCGTATTTTATAAATGAAACATAATCCTTATTTTATTTTATAGGATGAATTTAGCTATTTTTCGTAACTTGATTATTATTAGACCAAACAATATAAAATATTGGTGTCATGCTATTTATTGACTATACAGTACGAAAGATTTGTGCAGAACACTACATAAAACTTAGGGTATGCCTACTATGACATGCATGTCACCGTGACATGCACTTTTCGGTCGACCTATTCCTAAGGGCGGTCGACCGAATAGTCTAATTTGGGCAGCACGAGAAAGCCATGCGGTCGACCGCAACGACCACCTGGTCGACCGCATTTAGTTTAAGTTGGTATTTTTGGTCGACCAGAATAGAACCTCGGTCGGCCATTTCGTTGGCGTCAGAAACAACATGGTCGACCACCTAATATATAGGTCGACCACTTGATGGCAGTAATTAACAAAATGGTCGACCGGATAAGGAAAGAGGTCGACCAGATAGAAGATAAGTGTTCTATCAAAGTGTCCAATCATTTGACGTAAAATGGAGATCAAGTGTTGGTTTCTCGGTCGACCTAATCCGGTACGAGGTCGACCGAATACAAGAAAGTCAACCTATGCCCCGTGTCTTTTTTGCTTATGTATGTCGATTTGTGTGGTTAATTTAATCGTATAAATTATGTTTCAAACCATCATAATTAGTCAATTATAACAAGGACTCATCAATCCATAGCATAACAACTAAAAATAAAACACACATAAAATAGCATAATTGTTCACCACATAAAAATAAAACTAAAAACACCATCATAGCATAATTGTTCACACATAAAAATAAAACTAAAAAAATAACATAAAAATAAAACTAAACAAATAAAACTAAAAACTACTCATCTCCCCCCTCTCCCTCATTCACATTTTCTTCATTTTCTTCATTGGTGGTGGTAGCATGGTGGTCAGATGTGGTGGGATGCATGTATCTTCCGCTGAAAGATCGCCACTCATCTCGCATCTCATTCACGGTCAGCTGCATTGTGCTCATCTGGGCGTTCATTTGCCCCATGTAGTCGTACATGCCAGTCATCTGGGTGGACATCTGGCCCATGTACTCGTACATGCCATCCATGCGCTCCCACACACGCTGTAAGGTGATCGGTGGAGTTGAAGTCTGTGCCTCCCCCATTGGCTCGTCTCGAGCTCCTTGATCACCATCATCATCCTCATCATCATCATCATCATCATCATCACCACCACCAGCATGAGCAATGTTTGCTCTGACATACTCACCATTACGCAGCTCAAAGCCCATCTTTTTCAGAGATGAAACAGTATAGAACTCCTGCCTTGAGATCGATAACCCCACCTCTTCACTTAAATTCACATTAAAATGCTCAAATATCACAGTGAGAATCATCCCATAGGGAAGATTCCTGTTTGAACTCTCAGCAGCAGTAAGCATGTGGGTAAAGATCAAGTGTGGCAAGTTCACCTTCTCGTTTAACAGCAGGCTGGTGAGGAGCTCCATGTCGAAGTAGGTGACTGTCTCCCGATGTCCACCCTTTGGCAGAATGTTGTAGGAAAGCATGTGGTGAAGAACTCTGGCTTGAACTGTCAGGTGGTTACTCGATGGCCTATTGCGCCCCTGAGCATCTTCCTCTTCATCAAGACCACATACGGTCTGGATTTGCTTGGCTCTCGTGTAATGCGTTTCATTCCAAGCACCGTAAGAATTGATTCTCCTCCCCGCGTTTGGAGCCTCCAGTACTTGCGCCAACACATTCTTGCTGATCCGCATCGCCACCCCATTCACATAGGATTTGAATGCGTGAATGGATCCATTTGCATTGCGCTCGTAGGAGATGTTGTTGTAGAAGTATTGTACCATTTTTGGGTAGTATGGTACATTGAGTGATATCACCTTCAACCACTCCTGATCGACGAAGGGTCCCAGAAACCCGTAATTCTCGAAATGAGAATACGCATCCGCCGTCAATGGCCTTCCCGGAACCACCCTGCGGTTGTGCATGCTCTTCTCTTCGTAGTTATCACTTTGCTCCTTCGACTGGAACAAATTCGAATTGAACTCTTCCCATTCCGAACTTGAAGCAGCAGCTTTTTGTGTCTTTCTTTTCTTTTTGCCGCCAAACATCCTGCGATCAAACAAGCAAGAATACACGTTAGTCCAAATTTCGAAATGAACAATACGCGGTCGACCACTCTACAAAGCGGTCGACCACAACTAATTTAAAACGACAATGGGTCGACCTCAGAAGAAACACAGGTCGACCTCAGTTAGTTTAAAACGAGAACAGGTCGACCTCAGAAGAAGCATAGGTCGACCTCAGCTAATTTAAAACGAGAATGGGTCGATATAAACCCGTAACAATTCAAATACAAAATTGCCTTCATAGGTCGACCTCATAACTATCATAGGTCGACCTCGGCTAAATTAAAACGAGCATAAAATGGGCCAAATGATAGTACCACTTGAGTACAAAACAGATCCGGTCGACCTCATAATCTGAAGAGGTCGACCATTGGTAGTTTCGTACAATTTGAAATACAATGAGATATTAACTCGCACTTTTGCCTTCATAGGTCGACCTCAGAACTATCATAGGTCGACCTCGGCTAAATTAAAACGAGCATAAAATGGGCCAAATGATAGTACCATTTGAGATCAAAACAGATCCGGTCGACCTCACAATCTGAAGAGGTCGACCGATGGTAGTTTCGAACAATTTGAAATACAATGATACATTAACTCGCACTTTTGCCTTCATAGGTCGACCTCAGAACCATCATAGGTCGACCTCGGCTAAATTAAAACGAGGATAAAATAGGCCAATTGATAGTACCATTTGAGATCAAAACAGATCCGGTCGACCTCACAATCTGAAGAGGTCGACCGATGGTAGTTTCGAACAATTTGAAATACAATGATACATTAACTCGCACTTTTGCCTTCATAGGTCGACCTCAGAACCATCATAGGTCGACCTCGGCTAAATTAAAACGAGGATAAAATAGGCCAATTGATAGTACCATTTGAGATCAAAACAGATCCGGTCGACCTCACAATCTGAAGAGGTCGACCGATGGTAGTTTCGAACAATTTGAAATACAATGATACATTAACTCGCACTTTTGCCTTCATAGGTCGACCTCAGAACCATCATAGGTCGACCTCGGCTAAATTAAAACGGGCATAAAATGGCCCAAATGATGGTACCAATTGAGTGCAAAACATCACAGGTCGACCTAATATCTGAAGAGGTCGACCTCAGTCTATAAAACAATAGGACATGGCGATTGAAAACCAGATGCGGTCGACCACGAACATGGGAAGGTCGACCGCACGTGGCGTACAAAAGGGAAAATCCCTCTTTTTCAAGGTACAGATCTACAAAACACGGCCAGAAATAAAAGAAAGACATCACAGGTCGACCTCAAAATCATCATAGGTCGACCTCAATCCATAAAACAGAGGAAAAGCGGGATGAAAGCCAGATGCGGTCGACCACTAATATGAGAAGGTCGACCTCACCTGGCGTACAGAATGAAAAAACATTCTTTTTCAAGCTACAGATCTACAAAACACGGCCAGAAATAGTACAAAGACATCACAGGTCGACCTCAAAATCATCATAGGTCGACCTCAGTCCATAAAACAGAAAGGAAACTAGATTACAAGTCAGTAGCGGTCGACCACGATGATGAACAGGTCGACCGCTTCTGACGAACAGAAGCAAAAACCCCTCTTTTCCATCTTTAGATTTTTTGAAAACAAGAGGTAGAAGACAAGAATCAACCCACAAATCAAAGAAGAGTGAAAAGCATTACCTTGTTCTTCTTCTAAGTGATGAGGATGAAGGCTTTCAAGAAATTTTGGAAAATGGTGTTTTTGGAAATGGGAGAAGAAGATGAGGAAGGGAAAGGAGAGGAAGAATGAGTGGATGTGGGGGGGATAGGGTTCTGATTGTGGTGTAGAATGAGTGGGGGAGGGTTTCTTAAATAGAGGATGGAGGGAGGTTTGGGTGGGTGGTCTGGTCAGGTCAACCGGTTTGGTCGGCCGTATTAAATGCGCGGTCGACCTGGCGGTAGTGTTCGGTCGACCGCCTTTGGTCCGGTCAACCTTAACTTATATGAGGTCGACCGTTTATAACTATTTCAACCCACAATCAATTAACTCATATATTAGTAAGATAATTCGAAGATAATACAATGCAATCACAGTTATTAAAAAATAAAACAACTCCTAAAAAAAAATAGAAGAAATTTAAGATCCTTTTTTGGGACTTTGTTTCGGGCACTTGGGCCGAAAATGACCAAATTTCCCACATTTCGAACACTTTCTCAAACTTTTGCCCGATGCAGTTCGTGCTGACTTGAATGTCCCCTTGGTCTTCCCAATTTTTGGATCTTTCACACTTCGAAGGGGTGCTGGAGGGTTTGCCGGTGT